AAGATATCGAGGGTCACAGGTTTTGACTTCCACCCCCCCTAGCGCCCCCCCAAAATTTTTTGGGGGTCTGAAAATTTGGGGAAAGAAGCGCTCCAGTATTAGTAACTGATAGACGAAGTTTGAATAAGTTTTAGTGGGGGGGCGAAAAATGTCGTTTTTGCATACGGCTCTTTCCCTAGTTGAAAGACGTCATTTTGACAACATTTATGCATATTTTTCATCGAAATTTTCAGAAATTTTAGATTGAATTGCGTACAAAATCGTCTGAAAATTTTGGAAAATAATATCCGCAATTTTCCCTGTAAATTCAGTTTTTATCGGAGGAAACTTGGCAACGTCTGAAGGCTCATGAGGCGTTCTTCCTCAGCACGGCAGTCAGAGATGGAAAGTGAAATTTCACGTTTTGAAATTTCATAAGGCTCTAGTAAATTTCACAAAAGTTGAAATTTATCAATTTTTTTTTTAGAATTATTGATTGAACCTTCGAAAGTCTGAAAGCGTTTCAGATGGTCTTCCTGCTGATGCTGCGGTGTTATGCTACTTTACTGAAGGTGTCAAACACAAAGAGGGGGCAAAAATGGGAGTTTAGAGAGAAAAACCCCAACCTAACCTTTAAACTAAACGAGAAAATTTGCAACGCGCGAATGTTTTATGCTTGGGGTAAAAAATTTCAAAATTTAGAATCACTGTTTCTTGGCGTTTCCTAGCCTCCTGAATGTATCCCCAGAAGTTTCACTATATTTCATGAAATTTCGTGAAATTTCATTCGGATTTTCACGAAATTTTCCATCCCTGCCGGCAGTATAGTAAGGAAATCATAAGATCGAGAAATTACGTAAAACGATCAGATAACTGATTATCTTGTCTTTAATTTGAATAGACACGTTTTCCTCGGTGAAAGTATGGTAGTGACACAAACGTAGTGACAGGAGGTGGGGTTAAGGCTTTTAAAATATTTCATAACTCCGGTGTGCACATTAACCCTCGACCAAAAATCCAACCCGTCGCGTCTTCGAGCGTCTTCGCGCTCAAATCCACACCGGTATAAATACTTCGGGTTGTCTTTGTCAGTCGCTGGACGACGACTCGCCGTGTCCGCCGTGTCCCCGGTGTCCTCTCTTCTTCTTCCTCTTGTTCTTGTTGTCGCGGCGAGCGCGCATCCCCAGGGCCTCCACTCCCGCTCCAGCCGCCGCACTTCCCGGCATCTGAAAACGCCCAACGCGGACCAATCACATTGTCCTCTCATTATCATTATTTCGAGATACCCACCCTTCAGTCGAATCCATGATCCAACCGCCGAAGTTGGATGACTGAAACAGAATTGAACTAAATTTCCCAATAAGGAGTAGAGTCCCTTTATACTAAGAGTGAAGACAATGTGAATCCATTTCTGACTGGTTCCCGTATTTTAGGCATCCACAGTGTCACATACGGGAATACGTAATACAGTTTCACCAATGGAGATGTTGCAAGTGTGAGGAATTTGCGATTTGACTGTTGATTTTTATGTAAAAGTTCGCGAGAAACACGATGGTGCCACTGGTTTTCTCTGAAATCAACTCCCAAGCTCAAAAAAAGCTCTCAAGTTGAGGGCAAAATGGCCGGGGATATCCCACGCTATCCTGAGAGCCCACCTCTACATCAAGACAAACTCTCCATGCAAAGATAGGGAGCCAATACATTATCAGGGTTGCCGTGTTTTCAGTTTTGGAGTCCCCAAATAAAGTGGCAGCCATGTCAATGTATTTGCTCCCTATCTATGCATGGAGAGTTTGTTTTGATGTAGAGGTGGACTCTCAGGGTAGGGTGGGATACCCCCTCCGTTTTGGCCTCAACTTGAGAGCTTTTTTGAGCGTGGGAGTTGATTTCAGGGAAAACCAGTTTCACCATCGTGTTTCTCGCGAACTTTTGCATAAGAATCAACAGTCCAATCGCAAATTCTTCACACATGGAACATCTCCATTGAACTAAATTTTTCAATAAGGAGTAGAGTCCCAGGGACTCAGTCCCTTTATACTGAGAGTGAAGACAATGTGAATCCATTCCTGTCTGGTTCTCGTATTTTAGGCCTCCACAGTGTCACAAACGGGAATAAGAATTACAGTTTCACCAATTGCAAAGATTATATAAACTGGAATGGACCGGGACATTGGGGGTACGGCAAGGAACTAATGGAATGAGAGAGGGAACGGAGATAGGAATTCGGGAATGAGTTGATCAAAGATTACAAAAAACGTTCAATTTGTGTAATCTTTATTCCCGTTTGTGACATCCATGAGCCGCGTTGTCTTAACTCTTTCTGTAAAGGGACTTTAACTATCATTATTTTAAGACACCCACCCTTCAGTCAAATCCATGATCCAACCACCAAAGTTGGATGAATTCAAGCAGAATTGGACTAAATTGTCCAATAAGGAGCTACTATATTTCGCTCGTCCTTAAGGTGATTCGACGGACGCTATTTGTTGTGTCAGAGCGACATGCGACATATCGCATCGGAACCGTGCAACGAAAATTACTGAAAGCAACTCCTAAGCAAGACATTAAAGTTTTTAATTACATCGGTCACGGGAAATTCTTAGTCCCCCTCACAAGAAGAACAGCGATCTATTTGAATCAAATCTCGAGCTACAACGGTTTTGGCAAGTTTTACAACGAGCTATGTCCATTCCACGCTTTTGTTTTCAATGTGTTAACAACATGCAACAGCTGAGCTGAAACATCGAGATTTTCATACCGCTAAGACTGAACGACAACGTTGTATGCGTGATGCGATTTGCGCCATTAAACTTTTGTCTTTTCATGAGCGGGAAGTTTGAATTCATGCAATGTTACATATCCTAGTCAGGAGTTAATTTCAGTAAGTTTCGTGGCGTGTTTTACGTGAATTTTAAATTCAGGAACCATGTATCAGAGCCAGATTTAGGGGGTGGCCGCATGGGCCGCGGCCCATGGCGGCAAATTTAGGGAGCGGCAAATTTTGGATTTTTTTTTTAAATGTAGGTGTAAAAAAAATCAGATTCAGAAAAAAAATTGCTAATGGGAGAAGCCGACAAAATCTCTCATTTCCTGAGAGTATAGTAATTTCTAAATTTGTCGTCTTTCGGTGATACAAGAGACACCTCTTTTAATTAGTCGAGTTCAGAGAGAAACCAAACACGCAATTTGGTCTGGAGCGGCGCGGCGCAGAGAGCATTGATGGCGAGGACTTGAGATGAAAAGGAGAAACCCTCGGCGCAGCGCGGTCGGCATGTAAAACGTATTAGCGCCTACAAGACCGCGTGAATACTTCACGCATTGCGTCAAAAACAGTGCGCTCAGCAGCGGTTGGCGTGAAACGCATAGTGCCTACAAGACTGCAGGAATACTTCACGCATTGCGCCAAACACAATGCGGTCAGCGCGGCGCGGCGGCGGACGTTAAATTTAATAAACCACATTCATGTTTGTTCTTCCATAATTTTTTCGTTCATTTCTTATAAATGGAAGGGCTTAATGGGTAAACTTTCCTTTTATGGCAAGCGATATGTTTATATGTCAAATACACCAATGTTCTCGCATATGGTAATAACCGTCGTAACGAGACCTCCCAGCCTAATATCTTTGCGGAAGGTTTTTTGGCACCGGTAGTTGCAGCCTAATTACATCGGAGTACATCGTTTATCGCAGTTTATTTTCTGAGGAAACATCGTAGAAATGTTGGCATACAAAGTTATTGGGTGCATGTATTTATTAAAGATCGTTAAACCCGTATCGATTCACCAGACTGTTTACAGACATCTGTTTGAACAAGTGTGAACTTAATCTACATGTCTGAGTTCAAGCCCAAACTATAGCTAATTACGTCTAGATGTACGTTTCCACAGACTTTACGCGACGCAAAATTGGCCCTGCGATAGTGGAACCGGGTGCAGTTACTTTTTTAAACCTGTCTGCTGCCATAAACGCAGGCGACGTGAATCGTCGAATCGGTGGAAAATTTAAAATCATTGCACCCGGTTGCACCGGTGGCGATTCTTCAGAGTTGGCAAAACTTTTTTTCCTTAGGTTTTTCTCCCAGTTTTTCCTCCTCGGTGAAGTTTTCCTCAGCTAGAGTTCCTTTATACTGAGAGTAAAGACAATTTGAATCCATATCTGATTGGTTCCCGTATTTTAGGCCTCAACAATGTCACAAACGGGAATCAAGATTACATTCTCATCAATTGGAAAGATTATAAACTGGAATAGACTGGAATGGACTGGGGAATGGAGATGTTGTGTGTGTGAGGAATTTGCGATTTGACTGTTGATTCTTATGTAAAAGTTCGCGAGAAACACGATGGTGCCACTAGTTTTCTCTGAAATCAACTCCCAAGCTCAGAACAAGCTCTCAAGTTGAGGCCAAAATGGAGGGGATATCCCACCCTACCCTGAGAGTCCACCTCTACATCAAGACAAATTTTCCATGCAAAGATAAGGAGCAAATACATTGACAGTGCTGCCACTTCATTTGGGGACTCTAGAACTGAAATCACGGCATCACTGCTAATGTATTTGCTCCCTTTCTTCGCATGGAGAGTTTGTCTTGATGTAGACGTGGACTCTCATGGTAGGGTGGGATATCCTCTCCATTTTGGCCTCAACTTGAGAGCTTTTTTTGAGCTCGGGAGTTGATTCCAGAGAAAATCGGTGGCACCATCGTGTTTCTCACGAACTTTGACATAAGAATCAACAGTCAAATCGCAAATTCCTCACATATGCAACATCTCCATTTAGAATCGATTGTTTAACATACTTTTAAATGGAGGGAAAATTGTGGTGGCTTTTATTGTCTGGGTCGGAAAAATGGGAGGGCGCGTCGCTTCCTGCGTGCCACTTTACGCTGCTCGTTCTCATCGCTACTGCTCGGGTCGAAAATACTGACCACCTCGAGTTTCACCTGCGAACAGAGAAACATAAAGTGGCATCAGTCAGCGATCCAGAAATTGAAGAAGGGATGGTGATAACGAGGCTGTCGGCAGGAATTTCCAGGAGAGATCGGGTCTGTAGAGAGAGAGTACGTTATATCATGGAAGTAGAAAATGACATCGTGTTCGACGTCAGCTTGTCTGGTACGGTCATGTTCATAGGATGACGGAAGAGAGGATGCCAAGGAAGATGCTTGATTGGGTTCCTCCTGGGCGGAGACGAAGGGGACGTCCAGTGAAAGGGTGGCGACAGGGGGTTTTAAATGAGATGAGGGAGTGTCAAACACAGTGCGGCCGGCGTCAAACGTATATCAGGGCCTGCAAGACTTTAGGAATACTTCACGCATTGCGCCAAACAGCGCGTTTGGCGTAAAGCCCATATTAGCGCCTGCAATACTGCATTAATACTTCTCGCATTGCGCCAAACGCAGCACAGTCAGTCAGTTGGCGTAAAACGCGTGTTAGCGCCTACAAGATTGTAGGAATGCTGTAGGACTGCGTGTCGTCATTCTTGATTTTCGCTCCAGTTTTTGCCAAAGTTAAAGAGAAAATATGTATCCTCATTGTAACGATTCAGAAACTCGGATGATATATAATTTTTTTTTTCCTTTTTTTTTTTTGGTTACATTGTAAGAAAAAAGAGCTAACGAAAAAATCGCGTCAAAATTTTCGATACTTTTATTTGAGATCATTTTCGTAAATTCGCGGAAATTTTTCAGAAAAACTGTGAGTTGCTTCTTAAAGCAATTATTAAAAATAAAACATAAAAGTTTTGCATAACGTTGCAATACGCTTTCTTTCAGATGCACCCGCCGCGTTTTGAATCCATTCATCTCTCAAAAAACCTTGACGTGGTTGTTTTACGATTCTTTACGTGTAGTTTTTTTCAATGGTTGGTGGCCGCGTAGTGGCCACAGGCCCCTTGTTCACTTTTTAAATGTCTATGAAAACTTTCTAGGATATTCATGCTGCGAGGGCTATCCATCGAAGAGAGGCATGCCCATGAGTAAGGGAATGAACAGGGAATGAATGTGCTGCTCGGCGATGTAGTTATCTACCGCAAACTACCGAAGTTGCCAGATTAACGCTTTCTCGTTGATTATTGAATATTTGAGCGAACATGTGCGTTTTCATTTCCAGAAAAATTCGCACAATCCTATGCATCTCCAAGAAGGTAAAAAGGGGGCATTCGCGCAATCCTATCGCATGTCTTTCTGGACAAGATTAAAATCAAATGCTTTGAAACTTCAGAAATCACGCGAAAGAATGAAGTGGTGCATTGAAGAGTGGCCTTCAGACATTTTGAAAGTGTGAAACGAAATATTTAAGCGATTATATATTAGGTCTACTCATGTGGCTGTATCTCAGGTGTGCAATAGCCGCGCAATCCAGCATTGTAAGCTCATAATAGGGGCTTGGAGAACAATAAGGCGCATAAGTGCAGTTTTTGAAAAAAAAAAAAAATCAATCAGTTATCATTGATTTCAAGTAAAACAAGTCTTGATGCAAATTCTGGGAAAAATTCGATCCCAAATTCCAATTCTTGAGCATCAAAAAGTCAGTTAAAACTCTCTTTCCATTATAAGGATCCATGTAATTTCGAAACTTCAAGCACGTATTACTCGAAATAGCAAAGCTGTATGCGCCTTGTCTTCCGAACCCCTCATATATCGATGGCTAAAGTGCGAAACCAACGTGGCTGACTTACTGTCAAACACTTTGGAAACTTTAGCAACCTTTCCTTGAAAATGTCCCAGATTTCGCCTCTATATTGGCAGAATATTCCGGAGGAACGTCAAGCTATATAGTTAATTTGTTTAGCTGAGAAAAAATAAGATAGTAGCGGAGGATTCTAAACACCACAATGCTGCCATGCTACGGAAGAACGCCGTATCAACCTTCAGGCGTTGCCACATTTACTTTGATAAAATACGACTTTACAGAGAAATTTGTGAATATATTTCCTCCAATTTTTCAGATAATTTTATTCGCAGCCAGATGTAAATAATCTGCAAATTTCAAGAGAAAATATTCATAACTTTCCTAAAAAATGATACTTTTATGAGAGGAAATTTGGCAACGTCTGAAAGTTCATGCGGCATTTTTCCATGGCACGGCAGAATGGAGGTACGTGGTTTCGCGGTTTAGCTATCAATTTATTAAGTAGCGCGCCAGGGTTTTTTTTTTTTTTTTTTTTTTTTTTTTTTTTTTAATTGGATTTTTTTGCTAATTATTTGGTAGGGACACATCCATGCTCTAGACTATTCAACCCTCCTGTCACCAAGAACAAAATGTATCTGACCCAGCAGACCGATTAGTCAATTTAGTTATTTGTTGCTATCACTAGAATTCGAACCATGGGACCTTTTGACCTACAATCAGACTCGCCAATCTGACCCTTGAGTCAACCTTGCCGGCAAGTAGGTTCTTTAAAAGCAGATATAATTTTCCTACATAATTGTGTCATCACATCTATAATTGTCTCTCTGCAAAAAAATAAAAAAAAGCTCTGTGTGCTTCTTAAATTAAAACTAGCAAAATTCAAAAGATCAGGCATATTTTTCAGCTGGCTCTGTCCGCCACCATTCAGTCACCAAATTGATAAAGCTGCAAGCAATAAGGTTATGATAACAAATAAAAAGAAAGGTTGAGCTCAAGAAAAATGTATTGATTTATTATCAATTCTGAGGGATTGGAAGGAGATTAACAGAAGAGAGGCAGTTTTTTGGCAAACAAGGGGTGTGCTCGTCAAGGGTGTATTGTGCTTTGCGATGAATTGATTAACCTTTCACTCAAATCTATAGAAAAGAATCGATTATCAGGGTGTATCTTGGCAATTGATTCTTATAGTTTCCTTATAGCATAGCTTCAAATGAGATAAAATAGATAGTCAATGTTTCACGTCAAGCCACTGATGCTCGTTAGCTACTTGAAAGAACTCCGTCAGGATTGCAGTGCATTTGGTTCCTTTCTTTGTTTTGGTTCCACTGAGAGGGAGTCTGAGAAGGAACCAACCTTGCACTTCGTGGATTTCTCTGAATTTACTTAGCTTTTTTTTATTCAGAAAAAAGGATTCGAGATAATAAAAGTCAAAAAAAATAAGTTTTTAATTACTTGAGTTTCTGAAATTTTCACTGTAGCCTGCTATACATCAGTGGATATTGCATGATCTTAATTTCTGAATTGAGGGGCTTGGAGGACAAGGCGCATAAGTGCAGTTTTTAAAAAAATTGAGATATTAATGATTTCATGTAAAACTAGTTCGAATGCATTATCTGTGAGGAATTTGCTCCCAAATTCCAATATTTAAGCATCAAAAAGTCAGTTTCAACTTTTTTCCGCCATAAGAATCCATGTAATTATGAAACTTCAAACACGTATTTATTGAAGTAGTAAAAACTGTTAACTCCAAGCTCCTTAATTATAAGAATGATCCACAAAAATAGCACAAATAATTTAAGGAAATAAAACAGAAAAAAGAGGAAACCGAGGCTAAAAATAAACGGTTATAGGACATTTCGTTAACGATTTATTGTCCGCACTCCTGTTTTTTCCAGAAATTTACGTCCACGAGTTTTTTCGGCACGGGAGTTTTGGTCCATGTGCCAGTTGAGACCCAAAGTTAATTGGCCCACATGTAAATACAAACGACAATTGCTCACGACGTTTTTGGATGAAAATGTAAAATGTCTCGGAAGAATGAGGGTTTGTTTGTTTTTTTGTTTTATCTGTTTGGTCCTACGGAGAATAATATATAGTTGAGAGTTTTGGTAAAAATGGGGGAGCGTCAATTCCATGAGACAAAATTCACTAAAACTTTCTACACCTCTTTGGTGTAACAGGACTTAATTATCTTTCAAGAAATTCCCACCTTGTTATACCTGAACCGGATAAACCTCCATATTTGCCTCAGCTAAAGGCTCTTAGATTTTTCCAGTGTACGGTAAGTATCTTGATTTATTTTGCGAGGAAAGATCTGTACTTTTAAAGGATGCCTGTCATTCTTGATACGTTCAATTTCGTATAATACTGTGCAACACCTCTGTTGTGAAATAGTTGCTTCAGGCGCCGCCGCCGAGCGACGGCGGCCAGCGCAAAACGCGCACTGGCGCCTACAAACCTAAGTGGATACTTAAAGCATTGTGCAATGCGTGAAGTATCCACTTAGGTTTGTAGGCGGCAGTGAGCCTCTCGCGCTGGCAGTGCGCCGCTCCGCTCTGTTAGGCTTTAATATTTATACTCGCATAGTCAGGGTTTTTTAACTCATGGTTTTGAAATGTCCATGAGTTAAATGAGTTTGTCGGGGTGAGGTCTGGCAACTCAAGAAAAGAACTGAAGACATGCTTAGGGCAACTGAGATGGACTTTTGGCGGAGGTCTGCTGGCATCTCAAGAAGAGAGCGTATCCGCAATGTAAAAGTACGTGAGATCATGGGTGTGGAGAAGGACATCGTGCACGATATCAGGTCCAAGCAGTTGGTCTGGTATGGACATGTGCGAAGGATGGCAAACGACCGGTTGCCCAAGCAGGTCTTCGATTGGGTTCCTCCCGGAAGGCGACGGCGTGGACGTCCTGTGAAAGGTTGGCGACAAGGGGTGGAGGAGGAGATCAGAAGGTGCCAATTGCCTGATGATCTCTGGGAGGACAGGGGGCAATGGCGATTGGGCGTCGCAGAGCGCGAGGCGGCGCTATAAAAGAGACTTTATGTATGTGTTTTGAAATGTTTGCATACTCTGCATTGATTATTCTCATTTAAATTGATGGGAAAAAAATATGTATGAATTTAGCAAAGAAGAATAATAATATAATGTGTGTTTTTTAAATATTGGTGGTTCCGTGTCAAATTTAATGATTTCCAAAGCACTTTAATTTTTTCTTTTACATTTTATGCTTTTATTGTGCTGCAGCGAGGTGTACGCGCAACGAAACGCTCAAATTTTGACGTATTTTGACTTTAAAAGATCGATGTACAAATGGGTTAATATTAAATATTGCGTGTTTCTTGGTTTTCCCCCCTCTTTTATTCATTTTTGCAGTTTCTGTCGGCACAACTGCGGCTCATTGAGATTAATGTCGCTTGGAAAAGGTTTTACAAATATTTGTCACGTTTTAAAAATATAAATGTTTTCAAAATGAAGTAATAATTTCGTAAAGAAAAAATAAAAAAAAATAAATAAAAAAAGTACCGATACATATATACGGTATATTGTACATCGAATATTTTAAGGATAGAAATACAACCAAATTTTCACCAACGACAATTTAAAAAGATGATTCAACTGGAGAAAGTAATAACATTTCATTTAGAAAATGAGCAACCATAACAACACCTCCTTTTTTCTCAATTTCTCATTTCCATATTGTCAATATAATTTTACACACCTACTAAAATATAACGCCTGGACCAAGTCACCGTTGCTTATTTTACGCGTGGGCGTAAACTACTGGACGAAAAAGGTGCGCGGACAAAAAATCGTTGACAAAATGTCCTGAAACCAAATAAACAGAGGCTGGATGGCTTCAACCCCCTTCTCGACGGAGGAAACAAATATAAAAAAGGTAAAAATAAAAAAAAATCAGAATTCCATTAGATGACAAGCAAGAGAGGTTATCTAGGATAAATTAGGCTAGGATAGGATAACCCCTCCTTCTTATTATCGCAAAGGAGGGTCGGATGGTTTTTTTTATTTTTATATTTTTTTGTTTCTTAGCCGGGTCGAAACCACCTTCGATCGTCCCAGATATTCTATTATTTTTTAGCCTTTGTTTCTCATTCTCTCATCTTTTGTCTTCTTAATTTTATGCAGGGGTGGGAACCGAAATTGGAACCGGAATCCGGAACCCTCGGAACCATAATATTTTGTTGGAACCGGAAATCGAATAAACGACCTGAGAGGAGCCGTTACGGGAATCGGAACCGAAATGACTAATCGGTCTCAAAAGGGTTCCGCGTCAACTGATATCTAAGTCCGTGGAATGAAATTTGCGTTGTCCAGAAAATGCCAGGCGATGTATGTTGAACAAGATTGTGAAAATCATTTTTTAAACATTTTCGAGGAATCGGAAACCAGTCATCAGAAAGCCATTCTACTCAAAGGAGACAAGATGATATATAGCTATGCGATACTCCCATTTTTATAGTATTTTAATAAATCCCTGCGATCATCATTTTTATAAATCTTTTTTTTTCTAATTTCTCACTCAGAATCAGGGTTGCATGAAACGTAAGAGAGAAATGAAGGATTTGCAATTTCAGTAAAATATTTCATGAAATTTCATGTGGCTATGAAATACTTCATATTTTCCAGGGGCTAGAATATGCAACCCGCAATGGAACTCCCAAAAATAGAAGAAAATCACAATTTTTACATATTGCGAAATCTGAAAAGGAAACGGTATTTTTCAATATCTTTCATAAATTTCTGAAATTTCATGAAGTACTTCATGTGAAAATTCAAGATTTTATTTTTCATGAAATTTTGCCTCCCTCCTCAGAAATCATTTGTAGTTGCGGCTCCTTAGAACCAAAATGGAACCGGAACCGAAATCTCGGCACTGCTGGAACCGGTTCCGAAATTCATTACGGGTCCCACCCCTGATTATAAGTAATGATTAATCTACGATTCACTTCTTGATCATTGAATTCTGCGAAAGCTAAAATCCTTGCTCACTTCGCCCGAGGAGTCTGTGTGTTTGAATCTGCCGAACTTATATATTTTATTTTTATTCTTGTTTCTCATCCTCCTCCTATTCATGGGCCTCCTATTAGGCCCATACATTGGCCCCTGCACCATTGGCCTCTGCATCATTGGCCTCTGCACCATCATTTGTTGTCCCATCATGGGGCCTGAAACAAGAGGGGCTCGACGAGCCCTCACTCCGGTTCTTTCGTTTTCGAAGCCTACGCTCGGATCATTCTCCGAGAGCACCTCAGTCGCGGACATCTGGAAAATATTCGAACCCGAGAGAGATTTTTCAAATTATTCTATATTTTATTATTTTATATTTTATATCTGTTTATATCTCTATTCTTTACTTACGTATTACGTTTTTTTACATCTATTCTTTACTTACGTATTAGGTTTTTTTACTCTATTCTTTACTTACGTATTAGATTTTTTTACACTTGTGTCTTTTTTCTGATAAGATTTGCAGCCTCTTTTACATTTTGTCATTCTGCACTCATTTCAATTTCTTTATATAACTCCCTGAGTATTTTTATTGCTTGTCCTAGAAGACAAAAATTTTGATTGTCAGCCTTGACGGCAGTTAAATTAATTAACTGTTTTTTTTTTTTCTATGTCAACTGTTTGTACCTTGTAGCCAAACATTGTACTTCGTTGAAAATAAAGTCTTAGACAAAAAAGAATATATTTTATCATCATATTGTTTCCTTCCCCTTCTTAATTTCCTCCTCATGTAATTTTCTCCCTTTTAATCCTTACTCTTAGTGGACTTGGTTTTAGCCCGTCTGCGGACAGCCATTCTGAAGACCCCTCATATTTCGAGAGATTTTTTGCAACTGATCTTTTTTTCTTTTTTTTTTTCTTTCTTCAGGTTTAATGGCATATACCTCTTCTCAGAGGTCTACAGCCAACTATAGACAGAGATTTAATGTCCTTAGACAACAAGGCGATAGGGACATCCATGCTCCGGTCTTTTCAAATTTTCAGGGATTAAAACTGAGTAGAACCTGTTCCTGCAAATCTATTGGTGAGTTCCGTGAAAATTTGACGCCACTACCGGGATTTGAACCCGGGGCCTGTTGACCTAGAGTCAGACGCGCTGACCATCAGGACAACCTGGCCGTCCGCCTGTTCTTCTCTTAAGAGGAAATTGAATAGCTGGTTTCGAAAAGTGCCCAACTCCGGTAATAAATGCATAAAATAGAGAGAAAAAAACAGAATTTAGCAGAACATTTTTGATGAATGGTAAATGTTCGTTGCGCATCGATGACTAATGAGTTTCGGTTTTACTGAGCCCTGTGTCCACTCGTCAAAATGGCGTCAAAATGGAAGCTCAAAGAGAATCGAAAAATACGATCTGTGCGCGATTGTTGATCAAAAAAGAGTCGCGCCGCTCTATTTTGAGTTGCAACACTCATAAATCGCATCAAGTCCCGACTTTGAGCCACTTATCGTTGAAATCAATTCACTTTGAGCTTCCATTTTGACGAGTGGAGACAGCGCTTTCCGGTACCGCAAATGTGCAAAATTGACTCAAGCTTATGGAGAACGTCGAAACGGATGATCAAGCACATTATGAATGAAACGGATAACTACATGACTACTGAAAGCAGTTTTATGCAAAAGCGGAAAAGCACAATAAATACGCTGTGGAACTTTTCTCAAATATCGCTATTCTGAAGACAACGAAAACCGTCAATTACCTGATTTCGCCGTGTTTTTTCAAGACCATCATTACTATAAGCTCTCTGATCCCCTAAATTTTTACATTTTTTCACGGTTTATTCTACTGCTCTGCTCGGCCAAATTTCATGATTCTTGCGGCTATCGGAAGATGATTGTTTCAAAGAGCCCCTTTCATTCAGATTTTTGGAATATGACCCAGGTTTTTTACAGAATGTGATGAAGTTGTGAAATCACCCATCCAAACAACGTGGATGTTAATTTTTTTGGGGGCCGCAGTTAAGATCTACCCGTAACGATTTTCATGATTTTGGCGGCAGTCGACGGATGATAGTCCCAAGATGATGTCCGCTTCATTTAGATTATGGAAATAAGCCCCAGGCTTTTTTACACCCGGTGTACAGTTGTGAAATCACCCATCTAAACAATTAAAATGTTAATTTTTTATCGGGGGAGGGGGGAAGGGGCAGTTAAGATCTACTGTACCAATATTCATGATTATTGAGTCTTTCAATGAGATTTAGTCTCTATATTTGCAAAGCGAACCTTACAGGGCACGAAACCAGTGACGTGGCGTACTTTGCGATATATCGATTGATCTGCCATTTAAATAGCAAGCATAGGATCCCCCTATCCATAGTTTCTAGATCGATGGGGAAAATCAAGAGTGGCGGTAGCCACCCCCGGTCGAGGAAAATGACGTCCTACTAATACGAAAGACAAAAAATACTCACGTCTCGCCTGCCACGTAGGGTCTGGACCATTTGCACGGGCATCTGTTTCTCTTCGGAGGGTACTGAGCCCAAGTAATTCATAACACAACCCTGATCAAGAGAGGGGTTGTGCTTGGTGTCCATCGTAAAATGCTCCCGAATCAGCGCCTGGAACATGTCCTGCCCACGGAGCAATCCGAGATCTCCGCTAATCACCTGCACACATTTAAATTCGGGTTATTTAACCATGAAAGTTGGATTCAAGGTATGCAGAGCGCCTTATTAGTTGTTTTCAGCATATTAGTACTAACCGACAGGGTTCCTGACTTAAGTTTTTGGGAAATAATTTAGCACATTCTTATCTACTTGAGTAAACCTATGCCGCACGGTGGATCGAGTCAACAGGAGAGATCGGACAAAATTTGGAAACTTTAAACGCTTTTAACTCCGTTTATACAAAATTTTGAAGTTCTAAAGGCGGTTCCGTTGGTTTCCTTGTAAAATTTTCCTCTAGAAGCACCCCTTGAAATTTAAAGTATGAAGAATTAAACATCAAAATTTGCAATTTTAATCAAAAAATTCATGTCCGACCTCTAGATTGACTTTATCCACTGTACTAAGGAAGAACGCTGGGCGTACTGTCATGCAACCGCGGAACGCGCATTGGCGCCTACAAACCTACAGGGATACTTCACGCATTGCGCAATGCTTGAAGTATCCACTTAGGTTTGTAGGCGCTGGCCGTCTGCCCGCCGCGCCACTTAGTGGATCGAGTCAATAGGAGAGGTTGGACAAAATACCGAATAAGAAATATCAAAATTCTCAGTTTTAGCCAAAAAAATTCATGTTCAGCCTCTCTAATTGACTCGATCCACTATGCACCGCACGTAGAAGCGATGGCAGGGGGAGGGAGTCTTCAGTCCAGGTCCAAGGGGTCTCAACCCCCACTCCCATGAAAATTCCCAAACATGACGTAATTTTCCATGTCGTTGGGATTTTACCCTTACACCCCCTCCCCCTCTATGATACAATTTTGACCGCAATGACAAATTTGTGGCTACACGAAATGTGGTTTCTAAATTATATAGATTTCCCTTCCGGTTTTACATGTCTCTCCTGTTTGAGAATGCGAGAACCAGGATTCAGTTAAGATGGCTACCGTTCAACTATTTTACATCCTCAGTGGCAGAGCCAATTTTTATACCGCTAGCGGCACTTAAAAAAACATCCATTTTGTAAAAGATGATGATTTAAAAGAAGAAATGCTAGAAACGAAGAAAAATGTTCACTTTTAATATCTCCGCGTATAAAAGATGAACGAGACTCTGGGAAACAACCTCTATTAATTTTAATGTCCAAAAATATAGAAAATTAAAAGGAAAAGTAGATCATTCAATAGAAAAGCAAACCAGTCTCAAACAATGATGCGAGTTTCCATGTGTGAACAATTTGTAGTTCTACCACGTTAGTATACATATGCTTACTGGTCAGATACTTGCAAAATATATATTTCGTTTATACATTTTGTTTTTTTAGCTTTTTGTGGCTCTGTTTCTATAAAGCTGAAATATACAGATCCACTTTCTTCCCAAATATTTTGCATGCTGGAAAGAGAAAGACGAAGAAGGAGAAGGAGAAGGAGAAGGAGAAGAAGGAGAAGAAGGAGAAGAAGGAGAAGAAGGAGAAGAAGAAATTGTCTTACCTTCTCTGTAAAGATACACGTAACTGGTTTCAATATCCCCATACTTATCTGCGGACAAACGAAAAACCTTCAGCTTTAAAATAATCTTTATTTTACCAGCTATCTTAAAAAATACCTTTAAGTCTGTAAGAAAAATTGAGTCTCAATCCTTTACGACTTTCGGGTAAATAGTCCCGGTGTCTTTGCATGGAGATTTTGTTTTGATGTAGAGGTGGGCTCTCAGGATAGCGTGGGATATCCCCTCCATTTTGGCCTCAACTTGAGAGCTTTTTTTGAGCTTGGGAGATGATTTCAGAAAAAAACCAGTAGCACCATCGTGTTTTTCGCGAACTTTTTCGTGAGAATCAGTAGTGAAATCGCAAATTCCTCACACATGCAACATCTCCATTTACCATACTTTTTCCCGATTTGATTTTTTTAGAGGATGTTCAATCCCCTCACAAAATTCTTAATTTTGCGATGGAAACGTTTACATGATCTGGTTTAGTCGTACTTACAGCAATGAAGGCCAAGAGACCTCCCGTTGAGACGCTCATTTTTAGTGAGTCCGTGGAGTCAACTGTCACACCACTAATGTTGCGATCGACGAACCAAAATGTTTTATACTCCAATAAAGTAAACCGTAAATATTAACACGATTGGTGCTTGGTTATACCAATTTCTCTACGATTCAGCCGTCAAACGGCCGATAACAGCTGCACAAACGTATTAATGTCGGCATCGCGATGTACGCTAACAGGAAAAATTTGCGCGGAATTTGCCGCTCCGCGAGTAGTCTTCGAAATGCAAGCATGTACAGGATCAAGATGGCACAAATTCACTTTTTATTTCTCTCAGGAAAACGCAAAAAGTTTAACTTTTTATTCGCATAACGCATTTTTTAGCTGAGGTTTAAATTACCGTTCCGCAGCGGTGTGATCAGACTTGAAAATTTCAAAAATCAAACTTAGTATTATTACACGGATTTTCTAAAGGGCAATCAGATCGGCGCCTTTTTGATTCTGAGTTGTTTCACCATTGTAAATACCATTTGGACTTATGTTCTTTTGATCCAAAGTTTTTAACGGTATAACTTGGGTGTAATAAGGCTAGATTGCACTGTCAAATTTAAAGCCGAACTAGCAGCGAGTTTGTTTCCAAAAGATGCGGCATGCGGCACTGCGCGCCATTCTAATCGTTACGTGGTGCGTATTGTGAGGACTAAAAGAAATCGGGTACATGCGACCCGATTTCCCCTAAAACAGGTACTAAAAAAAGGAACCTCTCAGCGTCTCAGCATCGACATGGAAAAGAAGAAAAGACTGTGTTACAGCATCATCAGGAATCAGGATGCACGGATGCATCGCTTCGACTTTCAAGGGGGCCAAAATATTTGCCTCCGAAAAGCATTATTTGCCGCGTCTTCTGGAAGTAATCAACACCCTGAGGTGCAGAGATACAGTTTTTAATTACCATGCCGATGTTTTACTCTGTGCCACTTATAAGAAGTTTTTCCTTCTAGAGGTAACTGGTGATTCAATGCCCATCATTGAGAATAATCTTCGTCATTACGTGGCTTATTCTTGTTACACTAACTCGAGTCTGTTTACTGTGTTATGAGTCACAATCGCGCAATAACAGCGAGTCAACGCTCAACGACTCATTTTTCGCTTTTTTTTATTGAAAATGAGATTATTATTATTATTAGGAAACTTCCTGGTTGTTTTTTATATTTTTTCGCCTTTCCCAATCAACATAGTAGCAGCGTATAAGTATTAGCAAAAAACCGCGGTTGTTTCATTTTCTAGACGAAGGAGTTCTACGGATAAAAAACGCCTTCAACGAGGAAAGATACTTCCTAGCGTGGTAACGGAGGTCGAATAGTTGCATCTTTTCAAAACCGGTTCGACAGTGCAGTGGCGCGGATTAGCGAGTGATGCGATTGCTTCATTTGCTGAACGATGAGTGTTGACGCGTAGGAAGTCAAAACGCCTTCAATTTTTTGAACGCAATACGGACATCCGTCGAGGTTGTATAGTTGTATCAAGGCACCGTAGCAAACGCGTCCCTTTGTTTATCGTTACAGACGAATATAAGTTGAGAGAGGCCAGTCTCAATGCGTTCAATTTTATTCATTAATACATATTTTGGGCAAAATGGGAGACGACGTTTCTCCATTTGCGACGTTGCAGACTTCCTTAGAAATTTGATTTTTCTCTGATCTACAAATAAGTATTCTTTGTCTTTAGTTCAATTACTTGTCTTCCTCTCTCGATGTTTTGAATTTAGATTCAGCGGATTCCAGCTGCCTTTCTCTTATTTGATTAGGAAAATTCGTCATCATTAGTCGAATCCTGTTGTGTGAAAAAATATCGATTTCAAGCTACTTGTTTAACACGACGCAAGTTTCTGCATGGAAATTTTCTAAAATCTTTCTGATTCAAATTCATAAATTTAAAGCCCCCTCTCCCCTCTCCTGATCGTCTAAGGGGGGGGGGAGGAGGGTTAGCCACAAATAGCGCCTATCTCGATGAGTTTGTTCCACTTTCAAAAATCCCTCGCAAAGGCACTGGTTGTTTAATGTAAGAAGCATGCATATTCAAAACAATGTATGCCCCTCCCCACCCACGCACTGGGCTTTGGCCTGATAATGAAGCATCGGCACAAACAGTCGAAGATGATTGTTTTCAACTAGGCCGATTGAGCACAGGGGAGAATTTCACGAGCGCCGTCGCCCGCGGCGCACAATGGTTCAAAACTCAAGATTAGGAAGAAATAAGTCGGATAATGACTGAAAGATCACGAGACGTTCGTAACCGATGTTTCTTGAGTCGCCAATTTCGTATTTGATGTCAAATTGCCTTTATTTTAACACCGTGACCTTTAAAATGTTGGCAAATTTATGGCACGCTGCGGCGCGGCGCGGCGAGCTACCAGCTCGAAACGCGCACTGACGCCTACAAACCTAAGTGGATACTTCAAGCATTGCGCAATGCGTGAAGTATCCCCTTAGGTTTGTAGGCGTCAGTGCGCATTTCGAGCTGGCAGCACGCCAACGCCGCACGGTGGATCGAGTCAATGGGAGGGGTCGGTCATCGCGCATCACGCGTCTTATTTTCTCTGATTACGGAGATTTCCCACCCTTGGAATAGAGCAAATTACACTCATCTAATGTATTTTTCCTCGTAGATTCCATTTTTCATCATTTTTCAGTCGAATAACGAGTTTTAATACGAGTTTGACACACTTTTTTATGACTTTTGAAATTGGGATCCTTGATAGCTGTTTTTTCACGTTACTTTCGGCGAATGGAACCGTAAGCATCTTCCATAAAGAATAATTTTGCAGAACTTGACTCAAGGACATTACTTGAGGAGTGAGGGAGGGCGGCTTTACAGCCCCCTCACTACGAAGGTTGCCATATTTCTTTCAATTTCTGATAACATCGATTTTTGTTCATGTTAATTGGTTTCTCGCAATTGCATACTGACACATATACGGAACATTCTGATAATGTTCATTTTTCTTCTCTTTTCCTCCAGCCAGTCAATAGACGTTTTCATTTTTATGAACTCTCTACTCTTTCAAATATTCAACAAATATGCATATTTCAAAAAATAGATCAATATATTAAAGAAAAAAAAAGAGATGTATACACTGTAGCTTCTTTTTATCGAGTCATCCCAGAAGATTATTATAGGTACTTATCACCAGATAAAAAAAATTGAATATGCAGAGAAAAAAAAAATTATATCATCTTCCATTATTTCGTTTTGTTCCTCAATGTTTGGAGTGAAGTTTGAAACATATTTATTGAATAAATATGAAAATAAGAGGAAATTTATTTTTCATGCAAGTTCTGATCCCTTGAAGAACCTCTGAGAAGGACTATTGTCTCTTGAAGAAATTTCTTCTTTTTCAACCCACAACCAATTTTTACTTTCTCGCTACCCTAGGGTAGAGAAAGCATTGTCATCCTCCAAGGGGGGGGGGGGAGTTGAAATTTTATTTGTATGGAGCTCATGAAAGAGTTCTAGGTATGTTGAAGACATTTTGCAAGAAACGGGACGTGTGAAATATACAATGCGCAAAACATACACCTTAAACTTTATCGCACAGTATAACGTTGATCGAATCAACTTCAAAGACTAACAGGAGGTTAATGTCTCGTCCAAAAATATCAACAAATAAGCCAAAATCAGCAATCAGTAGAAAAATTATCGAGATTGAAGGATATCCTGTGATGCACGATTTTATTGATGACAATAGAGCAAGATCGGATTCCCAGCAGGCGCGACTTCCTATCATTCAAATGGACCGTTTTCGCAGATTAGCGGATATTAGCGGCTAATTATTACATAATATCATTCCTGATAGTGTACAGGAGACAACCCAACAAAGGATTTTGCGGACACTTGTGGACATTTTTTTATCGAGCTATTTTAACATTTTTTTGGGCGTTTTTTTTAAAGCAAGCTTTGGAGGTGGTTTTGGTCCTCCTAAAAATATGCCAATGCACATTCATGATATACCAAAATGTTCCTTAAAGGGAGGAGAATAAGCATGTTTAATTGAAATTTTGATAAATCTGCCACAGAACTCATGCAAAAGCGAAATAAAACCTTGAGAATTAGACGGCAAATTTGATACCACCTGCAATGTCAGCTTTAGGCAACCCGCATGTCAAAGCGGAAGGGTTCAAAGATCCTAGAACCGTGGATACATTCATTTTGGAAGCTTAACTACTAGAAAACCAAGAAAAAATATTTAAAATCAGACTTTTCTTTCGTCGCCCATGACCGACCTCTACCATTGACTCGATCCACCGTGCGCCGCGGCTCTCTCAGCGGGCGGGTGGAGAAGGATTTCTTGCGGGGAGAGCTCCCTGGCGGGGAAACTCGGGTATCGTGTAATTTTTTTTTTTTTAATTTTCGACTTTTAAAATTACACACTGGTCGTGTGAAGTAATTAGTGTACTCTCAACGCTAGATGAGGTATAAGAATGAAAGGTGGGTCGAGCGCCGTGTGCGCTGTGGACGGCGCGGCGCGGCGCAGAGCGGCTCATGAAATTCTTGCTCCGTCGCGTCGTCACTCGTCTGTCGGGCTCGGGCGCTCGGGCCAATCGTCTGCAATTTTAAAAACTCCCGCCAATCGATTTCCACCATTGAACAGATGTGATGATGAATGGTCAATATTCGGGAAAACATGCTACTAACCTCAACTTTATCATTATCAGCTTATCACTACACTTGATCGCTCACCAAATCAAAATTTCGTTTTAAATGATCGTTAAATTTCTTTCCTCCACGCCGCTAATGTGAAATTTTCAGTGAAACTATCCAGGAATTGTGAAAATATGGCGCCGTTAGTAGAGACTGTGATTCGTCAAGCCGTAAAAACATTCACCAAGTCACCTAACGCACCCAGCTCGACGGTATTTCGGGAAAACTTTGAAAATCTAGTAAGTCATGTGAATCACTTAACTTACAACGACGTCCGATTGGACCGGTCCCTCTTAGTTTCTAACACCATGAATCATCGCAGAGCACCCGTGACTTACGTAGAAATACTGGAAAACAAAGAAGTAACAATCGGTATCTTCATCCTCCGACCAGGTGCTAAACTTCCACTCCATGATCATCCTCTGATGTATGGCATCTTAAAAGTGATTTTTGGTAAAGTATCAATACAAAGTTACACCTTAGTCAAGAAACCTACTGTCCCAGAAAAGCTAGTTGAACCAAATGGTGATGTTTCTGGGACTAGTAGCGGCTCAGATGCCAGCTCTTCATCTCTCTCAAGTTTAGAAACCAGTGACTACCTCTACAGTGAAATACCCTTACTTGCAAACAAGCATCCTTCCATGATCGTATCTGATACGGATTCCTGCTGTGTGCTAACCCCAACAGAAAGGAATCTTCATGAAATTCGTACTGTTGATGGTCCGGCAGCTTTTATTGACATTTTATCACCTCCTTATTATTCAGTTATTCCTGATGTGGGACCACGTCAGTGCTTATATTTCATTGAAGTTGGCTCAGAAAAGAGCTTAGTGAAGTTAAAACCGGTCCCAAATCAGTCGGAATATTGGAATGATACTGCACCGTACCAGGGACCTCCCATCAATAATTGATTAGGTCTTCCTGTTGCATTTTTAGGGATTTCATCCTACCTCAGTATGTTTCAGCTCTGAATGAAAATTTTAAAATTTAGTAGTTTCGTCGAATCATCTTCAGCTGCTTGACTTTTCTGGAATACACATGTAAGTGTATTGATGATGAAAGTCTTGAGATAATTCTTCTTTGTCTGAGGCAGCGTTTGCATTTTTGTTGGTGTATTTTAGTTATCCAATTATCTTCTCAATTTTTTACTTAAATCCTTAAAAGTGCTTTGATCTTTCCCTAATCATTTGCTGCACTTTTTGCGGGTGGTATTTGAACTTTCCATCCCTGTAAACTTCTTTCTTAAATATGTTTCTCAATAACTGGAAAGTCTGCTTTGAAAATTAATGTCAGGGTCCTCCAAACAAATTCAGATTATTGCTGTTAGCTTTATCAGCAATTGCTATACCTACCTCTGATAGAGTAATGGAAGGGTGGTTGACCAATATTGACCTTGATAAAGAAATGGGAAAGTGGATGAAAGTGATTGTCTCATGGCTACCAAAAATATGAGTGTTTGCAATTTGCTCTTTAAAATCAACTGTTTCTCTTTCCAAGATCATAATCGACCAAATAATGCAGCGTAGCTATCATGATTTTTTTTTCAATTTAGAACTTAATTCTCCTAGCGAAACTCAATGGACATAACTGTAGACTTGTGACGAGAGGGCAGCTTACAGAACTGTTCACAATTTCACTGTATAGCAATTTCCACCCAGTTATCTAAAAAAAGATTTGTTTAGAGGAGAGAGTCTGGGAAAATATTTTTTCTGAGTTAACTTTTGAGTTGACTTTTTAGTCTTTTTGATTGATTCTGGTGATAGCATGGAGTGCCAACTATGGAATAATTATATTTTGTCAAAAAAGAGTTGAAAGTCTTGTTATGCATGCTCATCTTATGTAGCATGATTTTGAAACACTTTTCTACCGTTGAAAACGGCTCTAATTTAATTTTATTTCACACTGATGAATAGGTTTATTACTCCTCAATCCCATTTTATGGGGGAAAAGAATAAGTTGAAAGTGGTTTGGGCACTGGCTCCCTTTAGCAATATATAAGAAATTATTGAAACCCAATCTAGAAAATCTATGTGTGTACCTATTGTTTGCATTAACTTGTTATGACTTATTGATTTTATTCACAAGCAAATGCAGCAGGTACCTTATTTCAATTCCTTCAATATTGTACCCCTCTTTACTGAAGCATCAGTGCTGCAATTTCAAAAGAGGAGTAGTTATTGAAACGTATGCACTTATGTCCTTTTTGTTATATACCTATTTTGCAGATATTGTTTCAGTACACAGGCAATGATCTTTATTTTTATTTGAGCGAGCTGCAGTTGACAATTAATACAAGGGCCCCTGGACAAGGTATGAATTGAAGCAGTACGCAACATATTTTATCTTAAAAATTTTTAGAAGGAAACAAATCACACTCTGGAACTTTTGGAAATCGACTCATAAAATAGATATACCTAAGTGTTCACAATTTAATGGACTAAGTGTGGAACCGCAAATAGAACACATGCGATTTTTCAATATTTCGTCACCTTCCGGGCAAAGTATCACAAGCGCCATGCGACGTTTAAAAATTTCCGCCGGCATTTTATTTTTTCATAGAGAAATTCTTGGTTAAGTCAGTTTCAGAATTTCACTGAATATCATCTGCAGCACAAAGAAAATTCAGTAAAATTTTCGGACAGCTTCGTTGAACAATTTCTCTGTAAAGAAATAAAATTGCGGCAGAAATTTTTAAACGTCGCATGGCGCTTGTGATACTTTGCCCAGAAGGTGACGATTTCTGCTCCCACTTTATTTCTGTATAGAGTTTTAGTTATTTGTTGAAGCGAATTTTATAGCTTGAACTTGACTAAAAATATTTTGCTGACAGAGATTAAAAATCAAGTTCCTCAAGAAATTGACGAGTTTCCCTAGGGAAAAATAAAGTATAACAGGAAGTCTGCAATGTCGAAAACAGAGATGCGTGGTTTCGTTTTTCAGCCATCGATGTAACAATTTTTTCCGGCTGAGACCTTGTCTAGTGGCCCATGCAGCATCTTTTGATGCTACCAAGTCACTATGTAAAAACAGCCGAGTTACATTTCCGCTGATCGGATAGTTTTATGCAAATAATTAAATTTTAGATTCTGCCTGCAAGAGTCAGGTTATATAGTTTTACCCCTCAACTGAAACGGGAAACTTCAATGTTTGCTCAAAAGTAGAAGAAACATTTCTTAATTTTTTGAACAACTGATCTCAGTTTGTAATTTATAATGCGTAAGTTAGTAGTCCTGAAAATAATTTCAAGTTAATGTATCCTCTAGATAAGTTGTTGTGATCATCGCATTTGCCCCCTAATAATTTTCCTTCAATAACCTGTCAATAAAAGCGGCCTTACCCTGGTTAAATCAAGCATTACTGAAGAATATGTCTTCATGTTTCATCGTTGTTAACAAGTGTGTTTTCCATCACAAGTTTCGATTGATGTAACATGCTTTTAACAGCACTTGTTCCTAACCAGAGATGAGGTTCAAAACCCGTCCTCTGAAGTAAAAAAAAAAAAAAAAAAACAAAAAAAAACCATAATAATGATATATGCACAAAGGGTTATTAATGGGTTGAAAACCTGTCTTTAAAGTTCTTGAAAATTGCCTATAAGTTTTAATCAACTTGACATCCAAGATTCTTCTTCACTAAAACAGCATTAGTGCTCATGCAATATTTTTCCTTCGTAACATTTATAGGCACTAGTTCTGCGTTTGATGTTTTAAATGACCATGATTGTCGAAGCATTTTCTCCGTCAAACTTAATAATTTTAGGCATTTAATTTTCCTCACCTATTCCTTGTTTTGTTATCAAGAGACCTCTCTGTGAAAACTTGCGCATCATGTATTGTGAGCATTTGCCTGCGTAGATGAAGAGATGAGCGATCTCAAATTCTTTCTAATTTCAGTTTTTCATCTAATTAAAGAAGATCACAAGTTTCAAAAAGTGTATCACTCTTGAAGTATCCACTACATCTTAAATATTTTTAGGGTGGATTGAACCTCTGTCATTACATCGAAGAACAATTTTATCAGCCCAAAACACAGCGAAAGAACAACTTAATACAAGGAAAGGCTGCTGCAAATCAGACGACATCAAATACAAAAAATGAGTAAGAAGTTGCTTTGAGTTAGTCAGAACCTCAATCTCAACCAGTAAGAAGGAAAGAAAGTAAAAAAGATTCATCCATTTGCTGTTATTGGGAGATCAAGACTCAGGAACGAATCTTTTTTTTTTTCAGGTAGAAAATGAGGTTCTAACGAACTCGAAATGTCCTGGATTTTTACTTGATTTCTTGTATGTAATCTTTTATGTTTTGCAGCAGCCTTTCCGTGGATTGATTCATTTTTATCTTTCATTACTGTTCCTTGACTAAGAAATGATCCACTATCATTATTGCACGTAGAGTAATGGAAATTCAATGCTAACTTGATCATGGAGTAAATGAGAAGAATATGAACTTGTCAGTCGTTTGCCTTAACGTTCAGGAGTTACACTCCTTTGTTGTAAGGAAATCTGCTTCTATACGTGTATATTTTTATCAATCTTTTTACATTACGTTTATATTTTTGCGGTTTTCATTCCCAACAATTCACCCCACTTAGTATTTTATTGGATGTTTGCCCCTTATTTTCCACGGAAATGAACGTCAACATTATGTATTTTCTACTATGGCTGCACTTTTATTTTTTGCAGCTACTTTATCCTATTTTAATTTTATCCTTCGTCCAATAATTAATACTTTCAACAGTTAATTTTCATTGGCTGCAAGAAAACTGCTAAGTTAATACTAGTCATTTATTTTTAAAGACAGTGGTTCCCAACTTGAGCCTCGAAAGATTTTAAGATACATTTTTCTTATTATTATTCTTTCACATTATTCATTAGCTCTCAATAGAACGATTTGATAGTTGATGGATGCACTTTTTAGTATGTCAAGTATTTGTACAGAAAATTTAACCAAGAAATAATTTGAAAAAGCTTTAGAAGTACGCCTGGAGTAAATACTGTAGATCGGAAGGAAAACAAGTTGCAATATTCATTTGAGATGTACTTTCGTACGAAGTTATTTCAAAGTATTTTTTGGTCTTTGTGTGCAAATACCTGATGTTTCATAGTGTGTAAGTAATGTTGCTCGAAAATTCTCAAAAGCTGTCATAAAATCCAGAGATTATCAATCGATCAATCAGAAGTCGAATCGTTATTCGAAGTGCCGAAGGACCACCCTAAAGAAAACAGAAAAAATTAAATGGTGTAAAAATTGACGTTAATTTGAATGCGATCTTTAGTGGGATTCTTCGGTGATGTGAGTAAGTTTCAGTATTGGCTTCCCTTTATCTGCTCATACAACAGTATCAATTATTGTACTTAAAAGTGGAAAAAGAATTTCTCACCAGATTTTCTCGAATCGGTTCAATCAGACTCTAGGGTGTCAGTTTGAGTTAAAGGTTGGGTACCACTGTGTATTATGTTCTACCTACTTAAACAATATTTCAATGACTTAAGTCGGAAAATGCATATCTCAGTTTTCGATGTTGTACGTCTTTGCTCCTGGTTTACTTTTTAAAGGAAAACCAGCCGACAGTGGAATTTTTTGTAATTTATCTCCTCTGTCAGTCTGAAATATCACAATATTGCAAGGAATAATTTTGGTTCGTTCTCCTTAAAGGAAAAAACTCATACTACAATATTTTTATACATGGCAATTGAGATACTCATTTTTCGCAATTAGACATGGATTTTTTTTTATCTAATAATGAATACTGTTCGTTCATATCATTGAAGGCATTAAAAATTGTTGAAATGTTAGCGATTTTTATTCTGCAAGAATGAACATATTATTTAATGTATCTATGCTGTGAAATTTTTTAATAAAACTTTGTTAAAAATCAATATTAAAATCTTCCCTTGAAATCGTTTCTTTTATTTCAAATTGCTTCAATTTATACCTGGGCCGTTATCACCATCAATGGGTTGGTTTTGTTAGTCACATAATTGTGTTTTAATGATTTCAGATTTGTGATCCATTGCAAATACGAACATTGATCAAAACTTACGATTTAATAGGTTGGTTCCATTAGGTATTCCATGATAAAAATTGAAATGGAAAGAGGAGGTCCATTATCTAAAAAATAAAATAAATTTTATTTGAAATAAATTCAACATTGAGAATCAAGATTACTGATGAGTAACCAACTTATAATTGCGACTAAAATTAATTTAATCGTAACTAAGATTAAGATGCTGTACAAAGTGTCGTAATAAAATGACTTAACAATCAGTTTCATAAAACCAGATAGTTAAAATTCAGCGGTTGTCAAGTATGCACCATGTTAAGGACAGTATTTTGGCTAAAAACTACTTAAGTACGCCTTTGGGTGCGACTGATGAGGAAAAAAAAAGCTGTTACCAGAACAAGGTGTACTAATTTTTGAATAGTTCCTTTACATGATATTAGTTCTATTGTAAATGTTGATTACGCTGCGGATTAAATGATTAATAACGTTGGATTCTACCGAGGGGGAAAAAAATCCAAAAATACTGCCCAGGAAATCTTGGTAGCTCATGTCTAGTTCTATCACCTTTGATGAATTATAAATTTAAATGCCATTTTGAGGAATTTTTAGGGCTTAAATACATTCTTTCATAGTTAAAATGACTTTTTCAGTTCTTAAGGGACATCTTGTAACTAAAAATTTGAACTTCGAATCAAACTTTAACAGGCAGTTGAGGTGACTATAAAACTTCATTCTAAGGTAATAGAATTAGATCTCAATGCAAGTAGAATGGAGGACATGGATAATCAAGAGAAAAAGAAACTCATTATAAATTAGACCTTTTCAAAATGCACGAAGACCACATTGGAATAATTTGGTAAGAGAAATTTCTTAACCATACAATAGTTAGCTTCCACGTTTCCTTCCTTGGAAAAAAATTATATATTACACCTAACTATTGATATCAACAAGTTAAATTATTTACAATTTAATGAGAGAGTAGAGGCGAACAAGTGTTGAAACCGTCATCTCCAGAAAGTCTTGACGTACTAGTTTTCACAGATGGGAACTTTACGTTCCTTGACCATGTAACACATTTTTTGTTACAAAAATCAATCTCTTCTGATCAAATAAAAATTATACCTTCATATAGATTCTTAGAAAGAAAATGAGAAATGATTATTAAAACAAGAGAGTTGATTTAAATCATTCGAAAGTAGAAAAAAGGAACACATCCGCAATTTGCTGATAGAGGAATCCATTTCATTTGTAACAAGGGGAAAAGAAGAAAAAAGAAATAACAATATTTACAAAATGCCTTGTGCATACTTCGATTGATTGATTTCACTGCATTTTCAGTTTGATAGGGATTTAAGTACACAGAAAACTTAACTGCGAAAGTGTCAAAATTACTCTTAGTCTAAATCCTTTGCGTTATTTATAGGTGAAAAAGGGAGGAAGCAGATATACATATCAAGTCGGTCTATTTTCTGAACATCCAACTTGACTAAATAAAAACTGCAAGAATAATCTCTTGGGCAATTGAGCTCATTTGCAAAATATGATGTGGCTTGGATCAGTTGTACCCACTTGGAATGGGCGACTTCTGAAATGATATGATGCAAATGAAATATTTTCAAGGAGAAAATTTTTTAAATCAAAGTATCATTGAGAATCCCTGTTTTGTCAAAATTTTTGAAAAGTCACTGTTACTCCTTTTGTGAGTCTATTTGATTTGTACTCAAAAATACAAAGAACATACAGTTACAATTATTTACACCAAATTATTTCTCTTTGAAAAAACAAAGTAGGTGCGCAAATTTTGAAACGCCGCAACATTTTAGACCTTTTTGACCATCAATATTCCTCTTTGTAAGCAACTGAAATGGGCCAAGGGTGATTAATAATGATCAAACACTAAAGTCAAAAATAAAAAGAACCAAGCTTCTGTAAGCGGTCTGATTGTCCACTTTCAGTGTGGTGAACAATAAATAAATTACCATTGTGAGTTCATGCAAAAGATAAAATTTATAAAATAAGAAATAAATACTAAAGATGAGAGATTTAACTGTTCCAGTCAGCAGGGTTAAACATGGCATCGTTACTGGGGATATTGACAGTTTGCGTACGCCCCGAGTTGTTACCGCCGGCTGGTTCAGAGCGGTTATCTATGGATGTTCCTGTGGACGTACTTGTAAATTCGTTAGTTTCGTAGTTGAGAATTTTCCGCTGGCTTTTACGGACCAGTTTCTGCTGCTTGTAGTAGATGTTCAGCACACCTTTCACAGTGATGAATGTTATGCCACCCTGGAAAAAAAGATGCATTGATTTGAGTCTTTTTGTTGATAGTCAAAATTAAGAATATTTCCGAGCCCTTTTGCTCAAATTACCTTTCATTGTTAGCTTCTTGGAATCACAGTTGTTCTTAGTGCAGGAAGTAAACTGTTGTACTGATGAAAAACCCTGAATGAACATTTCGACGGCGTAAGTCCGCAATCACATATCTCGTTTGCGGAGTCTGAAAATCTCCGCCTATATGTTAATTTTTTAAAGGAGAACAAATTGACATCATTCCTTGAAGTTTAGGCAGAATTTTCCTTGCACAGAAGACAAAAATCATGGCAGTTTTAAAAAATTGCCGTTGAGTAGTTTTCCGTTAAAAAAGTAAAGTATGACAGGAGGTCTGCAACGTCGCAAACCGAGTTATGTGATTGCTGACTTACACCGTCAATTTGCTGAAAATGCTGAATGCTGCCAAATCTCCCCTGACAAAGTATTTACTCAGGAGGAAACTTAAGAATATTTTTTCTGAAATTTTCACATATTTTAAATCCAATTGCGAACACAGTTCTCTAAAAACACTTGACGGATTTCCGGTACAAAGAAATTTGGTAATATCCAAAGGCTCATAGGCGTTTTGCCTTAACACGGTAGTATAAGCTTTACAAAATATGAGAAAGCATGGGTTACTAGTATGTAGCTTTGTAATTATTTTGAACAAACCGTAAATGTCTAAGAATAATAAAAACTGCACACCGAAAAAGAATTTCTGATAAATTGTGATTCAACAAGGGGAAAGTACCTAGAAATCATTGAGGAATGAACCAAAAATCGAACTGCAGGAACATGATAAAGTGGACTATGTTGAGAAATTACATAAGCAGAGAAGGATATCTTTTAACGTTCATCACAAAAATCCTGTCCATTCGTACCTTCTCATGAAAAATCCTTACATTTTTCAACTTCCTAACCGACTATCCCATAGAGAAAAAAAAGGAGGTGTTTGCATTTCGGGCATCTTGGAAGTTTTTGATGACTTGATGACGTAGGTGGATACAGTTAGGTACAGCGACGTCCCCTTCACGCTGTACCCACCTACGTCATCAAGTCATCAAAAAATTCCAAGATGCCCGAAATGCAAACACTTCCTTTTTTTCTCTATGCGACTATCCAAAATCTGGGCTTTTTCTGTACGGCTGACACCCTGACTACATCACAACTGACGACAGAAGTACCATTCTGATTTGTGCATTAGCTTTTAGTGCAGAAATTATGATAACTGCTCTTCCATTCCTAGATGGAGTAAATGAAGAAAATAGCTAGGTAATCAAAAGAGGCAACGAGGAGTTTAAAAGAAGAAAAATTGTTCAACAATCAAATTGACTTACCAATAAAGTTCTGTGTAGATTATTTGAAACAGAGTCAAAGAAAAGTTTTCCGCAGAATGTGGCAATTGTTGGCAATAACAAAGCACTACACAAAATACTAGTTGATGAGTGTGAGGACGCCAGAGGTGGGAAGTCGCTTCCTCTGTTTTCTGCTTCATTTTCAGTCCTGTAATTCACAATAAAGGTTAGCTTTCGATTGAAAGACTGAGCAAACTTGTTATTGAGAGATTTGGAAGGAGCAAAGAAAACAAACTACACTACTGACGTGCAAAAACGCTGTAAAAGCCATTTTACAATTTTTGGAAACAATGTAGCATAGCAGAAAACCTTGTGTACCTTGGGACAATGTTTTTAAAGGATTCTTTTGCAAATACTATCAAAAACTTAACCTGAAAATTTGCATTAGCATGGGTAAAACAGTTTATATTTTATAAAGTGATAAGTTCCAAAAAATGATAGAAAATCTTGATGGATTTACAGCTTTCTTGCTTAGCACGGCCGACTAGACTCCTGGGGTTTTGAAGGACTGGATCAATGTAGATGAAAAGAAAATCCGTTTAGTTAATAGAGAAAACATCACTCATGTATAATCATCACTCATAAATGTGACACACACAAATATAGATGAATTCAAGCTCATAACATGATTGAAAGATTGATGGTTTAATTGAATAAAAAAATGTGTTTCCTTTTCTTGGATTCTTGGATTTAGAACACACTCTAAAATTGTCAAAATGACAAAAAATTTCAACTAAATTTTGTACCCGATGATCCAAAATTGGCCTTTCTTGGTAAATTATATAGCTGTGGGCACTTGCAAAATTGATGAAAAAAATCCGGAGCCAGGATAAAACCATACATGGATAGTCGGGGGTTTTGTGTATTATCTTGCAACTTCTTGACAAATCAGATTTGGCCATCTCTAAAGTTTCGTGTCTTGCTAGTTTCCAATTAAGTCTTAGGCAAGTACCACCTTAACAAAAAAATTCAGTACTTTACCAGTACCTCGATTTGACGAAAATCGGAAATTTTCGAAAATTCGAATTTCTTGCTCAAATTGAGACAAAAATGAGAAAAATTCCGGACCGTCTTGTGAAATTTCAGCACTTTTTCAGTACTTTCGGACTGCCTTTGAAAAATCAGTGCTATTTTTAGACTTCTAGAAAATTCTGGACTTGTAGACACCCTGCTAATGGAATCAACTTTTAATCGAAACCAAGTGCTCTCAAAGAATTACTTACATGAAAAGAGGAAGCATGTAACGGACAAAGGGTAATTTTGGGGAGTACTTTCTGAGGAGTGTCAAAACGGCATCTTCCCACTTGATTAATTTGCCAGCGATAAGCATAAATGGAATGGTAGGGAGTCCCACTAATAAAACAATCGGATCTGCAGCTTCCATGGCCAGCAGTGCGTCTCGATGACCGACAACCTGAAAAATTGAAAAAAATTGAATTAATAAAAATTGAAGTGAGATTGATTTACCAAAATTGACACAAAGGCAGCATAAAAATAGAGCTCAGTAATTAATCTAAAAGGCTATCTAAGGGCTAATCTAAGGGAACTTAAAAAAAAAAAACTTACTTGAAACAAAGAAGACATTTCAAAGTTTAAATCTTATTTAGGAGAGTTTTCTGGTCAGGGTGTCTACTAAAACAGGCTGATCAAAAATAAGTACTTTTACAGTACTTTTTCCTTACATTCTCAAGAAATTCAGTACCTCTTCCAACAGAAAAATTCCATACTTTTTCAGTACCTCCATTTGAGGAAATTAGAACAATTTCAAAAATTTGAAATTGCGACAAAAATGACAAAAATGAAAAAAAATTCCGGACCTTTTTGTCGAATTCCTGCACTTTTTCAGTGCTTCTGGACTGCCCTTAAAAAAATCAGTACTAATTCCAAACTTTCCAGAAATTCCGGATTTGTAAACATCCTGCTGGTAGGTAATACTGAGATAAGTGTCCACACAAGAACAAGGTCGCATAAGAAAGTTTTCATAAGAAGAGGACAATATAGGGGAGTCCTGTCAGACTTTTTCAAAACTTTTGGTTTAACAGAATTTCAACAATGAAAAAGTTAAATTTTATTTAGTGATTATTTTTTTAGCTTCTGACGGTTCTCATGAAAAAAAGTTAACTGTGATCAGTAGGTCGCAGTTTTGCATCTCAATATGTACATATTTCAAAGACTAAAAACTTACCTGCATAACGGTGACAGCACCATACGATACGGCGGTCCAATAAATAGAGCCAACGAAAATACCAGCAGCGATCAAGGGGCAAATCTTATAATTTACATTCGCAATAGTGTCTAGAATATGAACAAAAATACCTGAAAATCACAGATAAAAAACATTAGGTAATAATTTGGAATGCCAATGAAAAGACAGAAACAGTTGCGATTCAGAGGTTACATTTTTAGACCCCCCCTCCCCATAATTAGATTCATTTAGCAAGTGCAAATTTTCATTAGTTATAGATACTTACTCGTTACTTAGTAAATCCTGTTTTAATTGATTAGTGCTTCAGCAGTTAGTAAAATGAAAGTTTGATAAACGCTGTTTAAAGACTTGGTAGCAACATTTTAGACTACCTGAGTATTCAAACATGATGAAGAAAGACTAATTTATGCCGTTCTTCAATTGTGTTTTTTCCTTCCTTATGCCAATATAGTAAAAACTTTGAAGGTGCGAAACTTAAAATATTTAAAGGACCCTTTTTGAGCTTGAATGATATTTACTTCTAAAAGCTTTTCGAAAAATTTGAATGTGATGAATGCTCTATGCTCTGGGTTTCCACCAGTTCTTTATTTTCTATCTCTCTAACCTTCCCTGACTTTAGAACAGAACTTCCCTTTCCTTAGATTTTTTCTTTTGTTTCTTTCGCTAAGCTTTGGGCAAAATTTCTATTTCAAGAGAGTCAATATCTCAGAAAATGGCACTCAGAAGTTGTCCGCACTCTCTCAAATGGCACCAGCTGAAGTTGGTGAGCTGACGTGCTTTGTGCAAAACTCTTCCTATGAATTTTCTGACTTTTCAAGGTTGCCATATATTCCCTCACTTTCCACACCGTCAAAGATCCTGTAAGCTGAGCATTTAATTTTTAGTGATTTGAGATGATTCCTTGATAGGCATGATTCATCACGAATTTTGATTGATAGAAACTTGTAAAATATAAAGTTGAAAATAGGTACAGACCTAACTTAGGATAAACTATGATATATTCCGTGTTGCATGCAGAACATGCTACCGCAACTGTGCCTTGTCGACTTTGCTTTTCGTCTACCCATCGTTGTAAACAGTTTTGATGAACCTGCAAAAGAAAAAGAAAATTTGAGAAAAATGGTTGAGAGGAAGATGCAGTTATACGAAAAAATCTCAAAACTAAGGGGTCTTTAATGCAATGTTACGATTCTCTCAAATTATTTTCTTTCAAAATTGAATTGACTAACACTCACAAATCAGCATTTTAGAGGGTGTGGTGTCTATTTCATGTAATGTAAAATGTTTGTGCCTATGAAATATATTCCGCCTCCCACTGTTCAACCCTTGACAGTTATCCTTCACCATAATCGTAACCATTGAAGCAATTGTAAGCAGAAACCATCATTACATTTACTTACCCATTTTGAGTGTCCTCTACACTTGCATGGATGAATCCACAAAGCTGTTGGGTCATCTTCATCGGAGGCAAAACATACCCAGCACGTCCGTCTGCTAGTTAGACAAAAAATTGAAGCAGTAAATATACTTGAGCTCACGATTAAAATTCTCACATTTTAGAGGTTAATTGTTAAACTTTCCAAAAGATAAAAAAAATGACATGATTAAATCCACATCTCATTGGGAGATTTTCCTGTGTTTTACAAACTTTTCCCCACCATTTCAAAGTAGCGCAAGCATGCTTGATCCCCCAATTCTTTGTTTTACACTCAGTCCCAGGTGACACTTGTTGCTTGTTGGAGATAATCAAACTCAGGACGTCTGACCAGGAATTGAATCCTAGACCTCCTATCATAACGCCAGCCCTGCAATCACGACACCACAGAAGGGACACTTGCAGCACCCTAGTTAGCAACTGGGCATCAAATAAATTGAGCTGAAGTAAGCGATGCAAGAAATTTCGCTCAAACTTAAGCTGGTATGTGACATCATATGATGAGAAGACTGGTTTCTGACTCATTTCTTCAGTGTTCACTTTAGAATCTACCTACGGCACAAACCTGTTTCAGGTTCATCATTTCATAAGAAATTAGAGTCAGATTAATCTTGAACACTTATGAGACAGAATCAGGGGCTGACTAGAAAACCAATTTCTCATTTCTGAAATCTCTCACGACAGCAGAGACACTGAATGGGAAAAAGTCATTGCAGTAAAAATGCAATTGGTCAGTCTCGCTTTATCAACCTGAAAGTACTCAGTTGTTTTTCTTGGACTCCATCAGTTCACTGATATGTGAGCTGCCATTCAGAAATAAGCTGATAAAATCATAGATAAAAGACACAGGAATTTATCAAGGTGTTGCCAAGTTCTCGGTTGCAAGAATCTGTACTGAAAGTTATTTACATACGTTCATTTCAGCCTGTTCTAAAAACTGACCAAGACAAATAAATTAAGAGAAAACCGATGGATTAACAACCAAACAATTATGTTTCAGAAAGATGCTAAAATACTTAAAATCTGACAAAAACCTCAAGATTTTCAACCTAACCCTAGTGTCTTTCTTAGATATCCATAGTCCACTTCAGATATGATTTACTGACAATATCAATGGACTGTACAGCTTTATTAATTCAGTAGTACTTAGGTACACTTTGGTGCAAAGCTTGGAAACATTCTAAAGAGGAAATGTTATTGGGTTACGGCAGGAGGAATTTAAGTCATCATCATGTCACAGAATAGAACCAGCTTCGTGTTACGTAGTGCTTTGAAGTTCTAGATGTGATTTCCAAAATCAAGCCTACGTATGTATTTTCTCAAATGACTAAGAGAACTATAGCTGCTAAATCAATGATCACTTTCCTTCAGTTTGAAAAAATATCATAGCTTATTATATGGTAACATTGGTGCAAACAAACTAAATGAAATACTTTCAACAATGGAACCAAAGATCGTGTCTTCTGCTAAGAGATCGATTGCGCAAAAGAACCTATGGACTTCTTGGGGTGCAATTGGGCTCGCCCAATAGGGTGAAATGCCAAAAGGCAAAAGGTTAACATAAAAGGCTAAAGATTAGGAATTAAACTTACTTCGCATCCGAATTCTCATTGACATCTTCGGTGTTTTCTGATGCTTCAATTTGTACCGATTCATCATTCATTCTTCAGATCTGGGCGTCTGAACCTTCTGTCAAGTGAAACTGTTTTGAGGTTAGTGACGGAGTTGAAATTTCTCAAACAACCCGTCGGCCACTGGAATTCACGGTACAATCTTGAATAATAAGCAGAGCAGGATTACAGTTCTCGATTGCGATGACGAAGAGCACGAAAACTGATAATAACTTTTTATTACATCATTAATTCACGGTGATTTACTGCTGAGTGTAGGGTCTGATGAAATGGAACGACACTTCACTGTTGCGTTTCATAGATTCTGAGACATTCTTGTCTTGAAAGATCAGAGGGGTGAGTCAACGCGTAAACTGGTTTGCACGTAACTTAGAGGTCGCGGAGTACAAATTTAGAAAGAAATTGTCGGAAGCTGCATATATTAATTAATAAATAATGTAGAGAAAAAGAGGGGGGCAAAGGACAAACACAGCAAGACAAGGAAAGAAACACGACTAGATTTGGAGTTTTCATTCCTTGTTGCATTCCTTTTCCAGTTGTCAAATTCCTTGTCAATCAAAAAGCGGGAACAAATGAGGAACATGGTAATATACGAATTTTGCCGCGTTTTTTCGAAATGACGCTCTTGAATTTTTTGAGCGCAAATTAAATCTACATTTTTTTTTTATTGCAGTTAACTCGTATGAGGCTCAGTGAAACGGTTTTAAAATTCAAGCTGTCATCTGTAATAGCGGGCACTTTTAAGCGACTACAAATTTACCCATGAATGAACAAATTTCAAAGGGTTGGGTCTTGTTCGAGCACAATTGCTAGTGAAAATTGCAAAAACAATATCCTGATCGCGATGGTTCAAAACCTCTGCTGTCGTTTTGTTTTTCATAGAAAAATTAATGAGAGCATTAGTTTTTTTTTTAATCTTCGCAGAATGAGGGAAAATCAGCAAAAGTTCTGAGATATTAATTCCCTTCGGGTTCTTATTAGGGTCTTATGTTAAGTCTTTTTTTATCCTTATCTCATAATTCAAGATTTCTTTGGGTTTTTTCATTTTTAATCAATTTTATATTTATTGTTTGTGTTTGCCTTTCAATTTTAGTCAATTCTTAGACTTTTGATATTCGTTGGTTTTCCTGTAAAAAATCGACATAAATGGACATAAGTCTTTTGTAACTTTACTTGTGTTCCGACACGTATAGACGAATAAGTCACCGCTTATCATACTCTATAAGCAATAAACTAATGAGAATATCGCAAAAAGGTATACCGCGAAGCGGTCAGAGGGCAAATCCCACAGTATTATATTATTTCACCTGCAAACCAAACAAAATGTCTATTTTTATGTAACTCTCAAAAAATATTTCTAACTAACGATGCATAATGAAATTAACGATCCACTAAAAATTGCATATTGTAATGATTTCTGTCTTATAATATTCACATACGGGCACCACTCTGCCTTACTAAAGAAGAACGCCATATGAAACTTCCGGCGTTGCCAAATTTCCTTTGATAAAATACAAATTTCTTGGTAAACTTATGAGTATTTTTCTTCAAAATTTTCAGATAATTTTGCACGCGATTCTACCGAAAAGTTCTGAAAATTTCAAGGGAAAATATTCATAACTTTCCTTGAAAATGAAAATTTTATCGAAGGAAATTTGGCAACTCTCAATCATTTAATCCCGAGGAAGAGAGGGGTCAATACAACTTCAAAAAATCTTTGTGCTAGATATATGCTTGACTTTTCTCATCGGTACAAAAAAGGAAAAAAGTACTAAGGTGCCTATACCTTTGTCGCAATATTTCGAGGTAAAATTTGATGCTTACATGAATTAATTTTCAAGATTATGAAACTCCTTCAGACGACAGATATTTCATCTGGTCAGATTTAAAATCGTTGAAACGCAAAAATGTTAACCACTTTTCCCGCGAGTGAGTAACTAAAATATGTTAAAATTATCTAATGGTAAGTGCACCGCAATCAGGTTGGCAAAATTTCATGAAAAATAAAATCTTGAAAGTTCACCCGAAATATTTCATGAAATTTCAGAAATTTCTGAAAAATATCGGTCCCTTTTCATGTTTTGCAAAATGTAAAAATTAAGACTTTCTTCTAGTTTTGTGTGTTTGAGTGAGGGTTGTATACTCTAGCCCTTGAAAAATGTGAGATATTTCGAAGCCTTGTGAAATTTCATGAAATATTTCACTGAAATTTCTTATTTTTCATTTTTTTCTTACGTTTTATGCCACCCTGACTGCAATACCTCAAACAGACTAGTCATTTGTCCTCCTGAAAAAATTGAAGAAAGAATTTTTAATCATCACCTGATATCAAGTGCCAATGACGTGAATACGTATGGTTGACGTAGGTAGGAATGGAATAAAATGGAAGCACCGATATCCTACCTTGTGAAAAGCTAAAAAATCAGTTAAAAATCACTCAGATCAATCAGCCAAAATCAGTCACAATCAGCTTACCGTCTGGAATCTCCCGCGATACTGACAGTAAAATTCGAGACTAGCGCATTGAAATCGTGTAACGGTGCTTTATTTTTGAAGCGTGGCTAGCATGGATGCAAATTGGAGGAGATCGATGATCACTCAGCGGTTTTCTCATTGGACAATGTATAATGTATATTGTAATATTGTATAATGTATATTGTATAATGTGCGGATGCGAAGTATGGAACTCTGTGGAGGATCAAAAAAAAGGTCCAAGCTTCGTGCAAACATTTAATGAGGTCATTTTTTTTTTGTCTGAATTGAGAGTGGAATCTACATAGCTTGTAAAAACGGATGTAAATTTCTTCGCATGTTTAATGCGGCTGAATACTTTGTATGTTCAAATGTGTTTTATTCATCTGAACGAAATATTCTTGTCCAAAAAGGTGGGAAAGAGGCTTACAGAGTAAAATAGTCCTGAAGTGTGGTTCCGTGTACAGAAGCCGTAATACGTATGACATAAAATATACGTGTGACTTCTTTCAGGTACCTATTAGCTTTGCATCTGATTTTTTTCTAGTTGCGAAGTTAGGAATATTTATACATCTGAAATTTAAAAATGTGCAAGAACAATGCAATAAAGATCTAGGAATCTGAGAATTTTCCTTTTGAAATTCAAATAAATTATATATGAATGAAAATCCTATGGAAAGTAGACGAAATGAGCAACAAGAACATCTGAGGTACAACTTTTCGAAATGTATTTCTTCAGGCAACTTCTGCATCCCATCATGAATGAATAGGTGTATCACAACAAAAAGGACACAAAAGATCAAACCAGGTATAAAATTTGTACAAACACATTACCCAGTAAACAAGTGATATTGAAGGGAATATGGTAAAATAAAACAGCGCCTACCTTTTCAAAATATTTTCAGAAAATATTTTGAAAATTTTTGGCTATAGATGAGATTATAAAAATGAACTATGCAACACATTTACAAATTAACCTTTAAAGCATTTTGAAACGGGAAAATATATCATTAAAAACTGCAAATTTTTATTAAAATGTACTACTAAAATTATCTACATTAATTGGTATCAAACTTAGCAAGAATCCGTCAAAATCTTTTCAAGATTTCATTACTTTACAAAGAACTACATTTAAGAGAATTCAGAAGAGAATTCAAAAACATTTTCGTAATTTTTCATCGAAAAAAAAAAAAAAAATTCTGTAAAAATCCTTTAAAAGCATTCTCTGGTTTACTGAGCATTCATTTACATTCCTAGGCAAGTGATATATGTACAGTTTTTAGTCAAAAATATAAAATTTACAACATGGAATAAAATAGAAAAAGTAAAATTAAATTATTTGTTGAATGACTAGTTTCATTGCTGTCCGTTCCAGACAATATTTTCTATCCATGGCAGGTACGAAGACACTCGAGTGTAGACCCCTGGTGAATTTTCTTGGCCGCAAACTTTCCCGAACGATGTGATACCGACGATGTAGTGTTGACATTTGCTGTCCGGATGAGGTATCCCAAGGGGACCACCCGAATCACCCTGAAACAGGACATGAAATAAAAATTAATTTTGTCACCGGTCAAGTCTTTTAACGACCACGTCAGGAAAATAAAAACAAGTCAATCTATTTAAAACTCAAACGCTGGAATTTTGTTTATAATGGTTAACGGTGAAAAAGATTAAATTTATTTATATATTTATTTATTTTATTTTTCAAATAAAAAGAGTTTTTGGTTATAAGCTCGGAGTAAACATCCTAGTGTACAGGAAAAAAATGTGATCTACGATTGCATAAGTCTGATGGATGGGTCAATGCTCGCCTTACAGTATACATTATTCATCAAACACACGTCAAGTGCGAAGGAATAATAAAAAAATTGAAAACGCAAAGCATAAGCTTAAGTAAAATGGTAAGAGAGAGGGAGAGAAAGAGGGAGGGGGGAAGGGGAGGGAGAGAAGGGGGAGGGTATAAAAAACCAAGATCGATCTCGAATGGTAACTCAACTTTTTATGAGATGAGTATCACTGTCATTGTCATAAAACTGAGTGGGAGACTTGGAGTGTAGCCAAATAGTGACTATAATTCACTGTTTTTCCATATGAAATGAACGAGTTCTCATGCACAGTCTGATCAGCTACATATTACCATGTTTCACCAAAATAACCTATAATAATGCTTAACTAAAACTACGTAAATACGAGAAATGTTGGAGCGAAAATAGCACAATCTGGAGACCCAGGAATATTTGCGTGATGATGCAGAAACGCCTTTTAGCGCAAAAACGTCTGTCGAGATTTTTAAAGGAAATATTTCCTGTGCGGATTCTGCTTTTCCACGCACGTTTTTCTGTTCTTCAGGTCAGCTGCGGAAAAGCAAAACGGTTTCCCAATATGGCGCCTTTGAAAGTCTGCAATGAACTTATCAGCGGTTTTTTTTTGTTGGCACAATTGCCCATGACGTAAGTAGTATCCTTCGTTTGACGCGTATGCTCGTCTCGCAGGTTCAAGGTCAATCTCTTCAGTACTGCCATGCTAAGGAAAAACGCCGTATGAACATTCGAGAGTTGCCAAATTTACTTCGATAAAATGTTTATTTTTGAGGAAAGCTATGAATATTTTTCCCTGAAATTTTCAGCATCTTTAGTTGAAATCGCGAACAAGATTATCTGAAAAATTGGGAGGAAAATATTCATAAGCTTACCAGAAAACTTGCGTATTGTGATAGGAAATTTGGCAACGCCTGAAGGTTCATACGGCGTTCCTCCTTAGTGCGGCAGAATAAGTATTCTGTGTAAACCGGTGAGAAACGTGAATGAGTCTTTAATGTCTAATGACTTTGATTCTACTTCACGTCCTCTGGATATGATTTAATCTTGCCTGCATTCATACAAAAATAAAGTTCACAGTAAAAATCGCTGCTTCGAAAGACTGTTATCAACTCTATCGAATTACCTAGAGATATAATTTGGACAATTTTTTTAATCGTACTTGGCCCGTATAATTAAATTCCAGTAAAATATTTTATGCCAATTTTAAAAGTTTCTTTCGTTTTTTGTCGTCACGGACATTTCACCGTCCGATTTGTTCAAAAACATTTTCCTCCAGAAGTACTGCTTTTCATCAAAAATCGTCTCTCTTGGTTTTTAACCTCATTTCCGATACATACTAAAAATGGAATAATTTATTTTAATCTAAACGTAGGCGTTCGACGAAATAAAAAAAAATGGTTTTTTTCATCCTAAGTTGTATGTATGGTTAGCCGCTTTTACGGCGCGCTAGGGCGCTCTGCGACGCCTACCCGCCACAGGAATCTGTCATGGTAGAGATCCTCCGGAAGCTGGCAAAGTTCCCGTTTAAAAATTCCAAGTAGCGAGTACACCAATTTTTGATTGACATTTGAAATTCCATGGAAAAGTTATTTTAGGAAGTTGAGACTTGAATGTAACTTCTCATTTAAAAAATATTACTTGAGCGTGATGACCTCTGTGCCGAAAATGCCTTAGTATGTGACCAAAGATGTTTTCACCTGAAGGAGCAATTATTCAGTACTTTAAACGCCTAAATAAGGCAGGAAAAGACTCCAACGTAGTATTAAATGACACAACGACGAAGAAATCGATATCTACGATTGCACTCCTATTATCTTGCGCAGATTTCGACTTTGAGCTTTGAGCACATTCTCTGGATCCAGGTATCTGCAGCGATACGAGGTGCTTTGATTATTGGCTAAACAATTGAAGTTTGAACGTTCTTATCTTGCAAAATGGGATGGGGGGAGGAGGTTTTAACACGTCTCATCTGAAAATCAATCTACAGTAATAAACAGAAAAGCCGGAAGGCGTTCCAGTGATTTTCAGTAGAGGAATCGCTTAAAATTAGAGCAATTTCGATTTAAATTGATCGGGCAGCGGCAACCTCAATTGGACTACATTTTGCAATTTGAACCTATAAATTCGAGCCCGGTTTAAAAACAAAGTATCTGCCATTAGTTTCCCTATGCACATAAGTTTTTTTCTAGAAGAGCCAGAATTTATAGTGCTAAATTGCAAAATGGAGTCCAATTAGAATGGCGTACTAGAATTAATCACCATCTCGTCACCTTCCGGCCAAAGTATCACAAGCACCCTGCGACATTTCAAAATTTCCGCCGTCATCTTATTTTTTTCCAGAGAAATTGTTGGTTGAATCTGTTTGCAAATTTCACCGCATTTTATCGGCAGCACAAAGAAAATTCTGTGAGATTTACAAACAGTTTCATTGAAAAATTTCTCTGTAAAGAATAAAATGGCAGCGGAAATTTTGGAAAGTCGCACATGGCGCTTGTAATACTTTGCCCGGAAAGTGACGAGCTCTTCTCCTGAGCCTCCATATGTATTCTGGAGGAAATCACATGCCATATTCGCTGAAATGATTTACACTAATTGAATTTTTTAGGATTATGATGCAGGAAAGCGCGATAATTGAATCGTATTTAGCAAAAAAGGAACCAGCGCAATTACAGTGCTTTCAAAATCGTGCAACTTCTTCTTTACCTATAAAATTACTTAATATATGTACAGTATTAAAATTTACACAATTCTTTCCCTTTAAAATTAAAAAAAAAACATTTGTTGGGAAGCAAAAACTATTTGCTATTCTGGGAGATTTTTTAGGTAATTATGAAAAAGAACAATTTTATAACACTGCAATTGCGCTGGTTCCTTTTTGCTAAATGCGGTCCAATTGATAGGGATAGAAGGTGAAAAATCGAATATTTTTCACTATGATTTACTGTCAGTTCGGACACATTCGTAAGTTTTAGAGACACATTTTGAAATGGCGATTTCCTCTTTTTTCAGAGAAATTCTAGATGATGACCTCGAAGATGAGGAAACTTCCTTACCAGGCATGTGTCTTTGCCACCCTCGAGTTTTCCCGCGCAGAGCATGGATTCTGAGATGCCTCTTTCGAGCGAGCCAGCGGTCCGCCTTTCCTTGTCGTACAGTCGGTTGCACAGCGTGTTGTTGATCACACTCAGCCCGACTTTAAGTAAAGCGTCGCTCCGCTTTCCACCTGAAACAAAATAATCATTTTTCAACGAAAATTTCAGGCTTATTGTGTTAGTCATATCTCGGAATCCGGTGCCTTAATAAGTTTAGTGGCCAGCAGCCTGATTGTTGAAATTTATGTCGGCACGACAAGAATCGAAAATCGATATATTACACGGCGCAGATAGGGCTATGTTTTGTCTTATCGTGCCGACATAGACAGTTAAAGTTTCAACAATCCGGCTGCTGGTTACACACTCAAATTTCCGTCAAATTCCGATCAAAATGATGACCAAGATGGCGATCGAGAGTTATCTAGATTGACGAGTAAAATTAATTAAAACAGCGTGTTGATTGAAATAAGCACGGTTGTGTGGAAATCAGATGAAGGATGAGCCCCACAGCTCCATCATATACCATCAAATGTTTGCAGGCCGCAGAAATTTGATGGTACATGGTGCGCAACCAGTCACCATTTGATCGGAAATTGATGGAAATTTGAGCGTGTAACCAGCACATAGCGTCGTGACGTACGCGAGACATGCAGAGAGCGCCTCGGAAAAGGCGTAAAATGATGACATACTATGCGTTTTAGACACTTCAGCTCGACGGAAAGATGGAATCACATGCGCTCAAGTTGCGATATTCATGTTGCTTTTTCTTTCATAACTCATATTTTCATGACTGAAAAAGGGTTACTTAAAACTATTTTTGTACGTACATCGGAGGGGAGGGGGACTAAGCCGCTAGAATAAACATGGCGAGTAATACGTGAAGATCTCCAATTAATGAAATCGAACGCTTTTCCAAGAGAAACCGGGTTAATCATAGGGAACTAAAGGTATACCATCAGTGCATCGTTCATTGAACAATCGCATGAGGATTATGTCTAAAGAGAATTTAAGGAACTGAAATCGAGACTAATTCAAATCTTGTCGTTGGCAGGAATAAAACTTCAATGTTTTTTCCCGGATATCACTCATGACGAGTAATACGGTTTCTTCGTTTGCTAGATGAAGAGCGTTGACTCATTAAAAACGCCTTCAACGAGAAAAGATACTTCCTAGCATGGTTTCAGAGGCCGAATAGTTGCGTCCATTCGGTTCCCAATAAACAGTGCAGCAGCGTGGATTAGCGAGTAATGCGGTTGCTTCATATGTTAGATGAAGATTTTCGACTCATAAAAAACGCCTTCAACCAGAAAAGATACTTCCTAGCGTGGCCTCAGAGGCCGAATAGTTGCATCCTTTAAAATCCGAATCAACAGTGTAGCAGCGTACCTTAGCGAGTAATGCGGTTGCTTCATTGCTGAATGAAGTGTTTCAACGCAAAAAAACGCCTTCAACCAGAAAAGATACTTCCTAGCGTGGCCTCAGAGGCCGAATAATTGCATCCTTTAAAAACCTAATCAACATTGTAGCAGCGAAGCTTATTTAGTAATGGGGCCACTTCATTTTCTAAATTAAGACTAAGAGTGTCAACGCATAAAAAACGCCTTCAACCAGAAAAGATACGTCCTAGCGTGGCCTGAGAGGCCGAATAGTTGCATCCTTTTAAAAACCGAATCAACAGTGTAGCAGCGTAGCTTAGCGAGTAATGCGGTTGCTTTATTTGCTAAGACAGCACGGCTCACGGATGTCACAAACGAAAATAAAGATTATACATATGAACGTTTTTCGTAATCTTTGATCAACTCACTCCCGAAATCCTGTATCCGTCCCTTCTATCATTCAGTTTGTTCCTCCGTCCCCTCAATTCCCCGGCCCATTCAACGTTACAATCTTTGTAATCACTGGAAAAAACACATTGGATCTAGAGTCCAGACCCTTAAAAACATCGACAAGAAAAAGTACTCTTGATTTAATCAGAATCTAGCTTAAATCAAGAACCAAGCCTCTTAATTTAAGCGGATTTCGTTTTGATTCAAGCAAAAATCCGATTGATTCAAGAGTATTTTTTCTTGTCAATGTTTTCAAGAGTCTATAAGACTCTAGATCCAATGTGTTCTTTCCCCCAGTGATCGGTTGAAATGTAGTCTTTATAACCGTTTGTGACACCGTGGAGGCCTAAAATACGGGGACCAGTCAGAAATGGACTCTTAGTGTCTTTACTTTCAGTATATAGGTACTCTAATTGGACGTATTTCTATCAAACGGAACTGAGCGTCATCGGGGGAGGAAGGTGGAGTGGGGCTTGGATTGGCGGCGGAACCGGGCGTCCGGCTTATTCCGTCCTATAATCGCAATGTTTTTCCATGGCGCTTAGGTCCGTTTGACATAACAAGCTATCCCGCATTCTAAATTCCGCAAAAGGAACTCAAATTGGCGCTTAGGTCCGTTTGACAGAAATACGTCCAATTCACCTTAAATCGTGGGCGAAGAATGTTGATACTAACCATAATCAGTGGTGCCCCATCCGGTGGCAACGGGGAGTTCGCTGCGGCTCAGGTCCCGCTGCTGATGGAGACACGCTGGCCGGATGGAGTTGCTGAAAGAGACTTCCCTCTCCAGGCGGACGAGGGCGATGTCGTTGTACTTTTGGTCGTCCCTGTAATCGGGATGCACCGTTGTCCGCTCCACCCGAACGTCCACAGGGCTCGCCCCGTCATCCTCGTTGTTCAGGATCAGCTCGCCCAGTCGAACCTGCACTGGTTTCCCTCTGAAAAACAGCACCCAATTCGATTTTAATATTTCTAGCTGTATGATAGGCGAAAATGTGACCTTAGATTCACCCCTAGATGGAGAAATGGTGCTGAGTCCACATCATTTCGCGGGGAAACAGAGTCAAGAAATTCTAAAAATTAAAATTAGAGTCAAAATTAAATTTCTCTCTAATGCGCACCAGTACGAAACTGAGAAGGGAGAGTGTTCAGCTTCGTCTTGGATTTTGCGGCATGTTAAGTTGGGTTCACTGCCGAGATTGATCTGCTGATGAGGTCTAATAAGGCCCAAACCGGTAGGTATAGATCTCTCGGCGTGACTCCGACTTAATATTCCATTGCAAACTGCCTGAGCTGAACATTCTCATCCCTCAGTTTCGTACTGGTGCGCATTAGAGTTCAAAAATTTAATTTTGACTCTAATTTTAACTTTTGGAATTTCTTGGCTTTTGTTTCCCCACGAAATAGTGTGGACCAAGCACCATTTCTCCACCTTGTTACATACAGTTCAGGCCACTTCTTAGTGTTTGTTTTCATTCATCCCTAGATAAGGTTTTGAATTTAAGGTGATTTGACGGTTGCCATTTTTTGTGTCAGAGCGACGTGCGATACATCACATCAATTCGTTCCATAATTCCAGCTACTTTTCATTTTTTTCAAATTTTGAGATCGCACTTGTGTTGTCATGAGACCAAAGAATTCATGTGCAAAATTTGACAAAGAAATTCATTGTAATAAAGGCAGGGTTTTTCAGAAGAAAAATATCGCATTCGATACTGATATCGAAACGGCACTTGAATGCGATGATTTTACATGCAGTCTATTTCATATAGTGAAATAGACAACATGTCAGAGATGACAATTTTTGAATAAAACACTTGATTTGGCACCTACGGTCAGATAACAAATCCTGGTCTTATTGATTGATAATCTGCACCGAGAAAATTTGGGAGAAGAAGAAGAAGGGATAGATTCCCGTCTGATTTCAATGCGGGTGTAACATGCGAAACAAGTGAACTTACAAGCTGGTGTTGATGCAGTGCGCGGCCGTCAAAACGAAGTTCTCACTTATGAGGGTGCCTCCGCAATTGTAAGTCAGACGACCTCGGTTCTTATAACCCAGCGCGACCTGCAAGCAATCAATCATACCATTCCTTATTCAAATTAATAAATAGGTCAATCATCTTACGAAAAAAAAAAGCTAGGTTGATTTTTTTAGATACGGCGCTCTCTTTCCTCTGTACTTGTTCGATGCGTTTGCTAATGAGAGACTGTCAAAAAGCCAAGATGACGCCATCCTAACTTTCTTGATTACTTTTTTTACAAATTATCGTGGTTTTCGTATCGTGCAGTAAATAAATGGACGTATTTCTATCAGACGGAACTATGTGCATTATGACGTGAGCCCTGTTATGCACATATTCTTATGGGTGTCAGGGCTCATGTCTCAATGCACATAGTTCTGTTTGGCAGAAATAGTCCAAATACAGGAACATGTACGGTTATTGATAATTGACGGAGATACACGGATTTATTCGGAGACTTTAACACAGGACAAGAAAAAACAACTGCCAACTTCGCCGTGCGTATTGGTGGTTCTTATCGCTTATCAATATACTTGAAAATCACCTCAAAATCTGCCGTGCTAAGGAAAAACGCCGTATGAACATTCGAGAGTTGCCAAATTTATCTTGATGAAACATGTATTTTTGACAACATTCATGCATATTTTTCTTTGTGATATTCAGATGTTTTAGATTAAATTGCCTACAAAATTGTCTGAAAATTTTGAAAAATAATATTCACAACTTTCCCAGTAAATTCGATTTTTATCGGAGGAAACTTGGCAACGACTGAACGTTCATACGGCGTTCTTCCTTAGCATGGCAGCATTGTGCTTTATTTGTGTAATTTACTGCCAAAATCTGCCGACCTATAAAGTGAGATTACGTCGATGTAAATTCAAGTGCGCTCCACTCAACCCGGTTGGTCAAGTAACTTCCATCATAAATTACCGATTGCGACTCGCCGGCAGTGAAAGTTTGACACCGGAGATGAGTCGTACGGAAACGAGATATTAACAACTCTGAGCGATTTCAATTAAGCACCCCGTAAATTAAGAGCTTCCAGACTCTCGAAAGACCGAAAGCCCCGTAAACGACTGAATGGACTTCTAATTCAGAAGTTTGATCATTGCAACTGAACATTCTGCTTGACTGATCTTGTGCATGAGCAAAAACACGTTACAAATAGTTTACGTTGTTGAAACTAATCGTGTCTAGAGTGTAATTTTACAACTGTCCGTGCAAATGCATGAACCATCAGCGTCGAGTATCAAATCAAAGTAAACTTGTATCCTATATTTTGAAAATCATACTTAGTCAACAGTGTTTCTGACTACCAAATCGTGTCACAGAAATTTCGACGGTTTTAAATTAACCATGGCGTACTTGTCATGCTTGCAGAGGGTGTTGCAAAACATCGTATAAGAGCAAATGCGTACATAGAATGACCCTTTCTCTGGGTTTTCCTCAAGGGAGTAAACGGTTTTCCTGATTCTTTTAAATTGTCGAGACGTGAGTGAGGAAGTTTAGCATTCTACTCGGAAAACCCTAGTTCACACAATAAAAACATTCTCAAGCTACTGGTGCACTTTTCCGTAATGAAATATCCACGTTATTTTTCTTATTTGCAGCGGTTGGAAATGACTCTTGAAGGAACATGGAAAGGAAAAACTGTTTACTGCAAATGTGGAAATGTGACCCTCGGTTTCGGATGAGATATATTTTTTGTGGAGAATTAACAGAAGTCACCAATATTTTGCGTCTAGGTAAAATCACTGGATATGCTCTTGAGAACGAATAAGGACGAGTATTAGGGATTTCTTTGGCCCTAAAGTTGACAGAAACTTTAAAGTGCAAAGAAAGTTTCTTCGTAATGAAATTTTCCTTTAACGGTCATCACTCAAAAACTCTTGTTCAGTTTTGACGTTGCACTGAAAAACGCAGTATTCGGTGTCTTGAGGTTGTTTACTTCTTATTTTCGTACTGAAAACCAAAATACTGTAACACGTAATTTTTCAATGAATATGCTGCAATTTGATTTTAAGAATGGAGTTTTCTGTCAATAATATTTATTTATCCCTATTCTGCTGTGCCAAAGAAAAATGCCAAATGAACATTCAAGAGTTGCAGAATTTCCTTCAATTAAATGTTTATTTTTGAGGAGTGTTACGAATATTTTTCCTTGAAATTTTCAGGGAATTTCGGTGAAATTGCGAACAAAATTATCTGAAAAATTGGAAGCATAACATTCATAAGTTTACCAGGAAATTTGTGTTTTATCAAAAAAAGTTGGCAACGCCAGAAGGTTCACACGGCGTATTTCCTTAGCACGGCTGTATTGTAGGACCCTAGGACTTACCATGTGCGGAAATTCATTGAGAACGGCTTCTTTCCCTCCGACGATTAAACTAACACTGTTCTGAGGACAGTTTTCCAGCAGGAGAGATTCTGGCTCGGAATCGATTGCCAGAGGTAGGACAGCTGCAACACTGCTTTTTGTCAGTTTTTTGTACTCTGCACATTCTATTCAAAAAAGATACAATGCAAGTTAGTATTTCATTCGCATGTGTTTCCTTTAAAAGTTCCGATTTCCTGTACAAGGTGATTTCGTAATTAAGAGTCAGTATTTCAAATTGTATTGCCCCACTACATAATTTACAGGAGCGATTTTAAAACTTGAATGTTTGATATACGAAATGCTTTTAAAAATAGTGGGTGATATTGGCTACTTTCAAGGAAAATTATATCAATGGAAAAAGTTTTTCGGCGTTATACACAATTTTTTCGAAGAACATTTCAACTAGAATTAGCCTATGTATCTTAATCAGTGTTTAACTTTCTCTGGTATTTCATCTTTTTTTACAAGAAAATCAAGAAACGTTCCGTCTTGAAATTTTGTGAGTAATTTCTGTGTAAGTTAAAGAAAACTTACACAAACTTTCTAGACGATTGTTCCAAGTTCTGCTCATGCAGTTGGGCTGATTTTGCTTAAAATTCGTCCGAATATCACCCAACGTATTCCTTTTATAGTTTTTGTATTTAATTTGACATTTTTTCATTTCCCATAAGTAAAAGGTCTAATACTCTTGGGAGGATTATTTTACATCCTCATATGGTGAATTGAAACTCAGATAAGACTACCACCAAATCTAGCCAGTAAAGTCGCAGTCTCCCTGACGAAGGAATGTAATTTCATTTTAAGGTTGAAAAACTAACCCAAAAAATTCAATTTTTAAAGGGATATGGCTTGGCAATTACAATTCAAGATTTAACCAATTTTTGCGTTTGATTTGAGGAAAAATCAGCGCAATTTTTACTTGAAAATGACCAACGATTTCGTATAAATGGCTCTTATTGTGAGTGAAAATTTCTCAACATTGAGATGCACTGCCTTGCTAAGGAAGAACGTCGTATGAACCTTCAGATGTTGCCATATTTTTTTCAACAAAAGTCAAATTTACCGGAAAAATTGTGAGCATTTTTCTTCACATTTTCAGACAATTATGTTCGCGATTTAATCTAAAATACCTGAAAATTTCGAGGAAAACTATGCAAAACTCTCCTCTTAAATACATGTTTAATTCGAGGAGATTCGGCGACACTCGAATGTTCATACGGCGTTCTTCCTTAGCACGGCAGTGTAGTTAAATTGTTTCATCAGTGCAACGACAAATTGTCATAGTTATGTGGCGGTAAAGAGCTCTGATCGGTGTTTAAGCCACAATTTAAATTAAACTTCATGAATTTGGTGGGCATATTTCATACCATGACAAACCGTAATCACAAAGACGTGAAAGTCACTTACTAGTTTCACTAATCCTCGGCGCTTTGACCGGTGACCTCGTCGGCTTGGGCGGATACCGTGGCGGACTGTTCGTAGTTGACGCTTCACCCGGGTAGACAATGCCCCCATCAGTATCCGGCCTCGAGGTTGTGTAACTATTCCCACCCCAGTTACCACCATTCGATGGGTAGACAATCCCCCCTGGTCTGGGGGTGGCTTTCGGCTTATTCCCTTGCGGGCGACGGTTCCCTTGTGGATAACCATTACTCTGCGGGTAATTGTTCCCTTGTGGCTCGTTGTTCCCTTGCGGGTAATTGTTCCCTTGCGGGTAATTGTTCCCTTGCGGGTAATTGTTCCCTTGCGAATAGTTCGGACGATCCTCATCGTAGGGATCCGGTCGTCGGGTTGTGGTCCTTGGTGGTACGAAAAAGTCGTTCGAATCGGTATCGTAATTGTTGAAATGGTTCGGGTCCGGCCTCCTGGTCGTTCGAGTCGTGGCACGTTGGTTCACGAACTCAGAATCGTGTGGATCCGGACGTCGAGTCGACGTCCGTCGACGATCCTCAGAATCGTACCAATCCGAGCGCTCGGTCGTCGTTCTCCTCGTCTCAGAATCGTACCGGCGAGTCGTTCTCTTCGGCTCAGAATCGTAATAATCAGGTCTGCGAGTCGTTCTTTTCGGCTCAGAATCGTAATAATCAGGTCTGCGAGTCGTTCTTTTCGGCTCGGAATCGTAATAATCAGGTCTGCGAGTCGTTCTCTTCGGCTCAGAATCGTAATAATCAGGTCTCCGAGTCGTTCTTCTGGGCTCAGAATCGTAATAATCAGGTCTGCGAGTCGTTCTTCTGGGCTCAGAATCGTAATAATCAGGTCTGCGAGTCGTTCTTCTGGGCTCAGAATCATACCGGTCCGAGTCAACAGCGTCGTACCGGTCTGGACGATAAGTCGTTGTCCTTCTGGGCTCAGAATCGTACCTGTCCGGACGTAGTCCGGACTCAGAATTGTAACTCTCCGGGCGTAGTCCAGGCTCAGAATCATACTCAGACCCATATTCCGGTCGACTAGGTCTCCGGCTCGGTTTCGGGATGAAGTAGTCCTCCGAGTGCCCGTTCGGATTCCTGTCCGGCGAGCTCGAGTAGGGTTTATCAGGGTGAAACTCGCCAGGCCTGGACGTCCAGATGGACTTGTCTGGTCGTCCTGATTGAGGTCGATCCCACTTGCCACCCCCGAACTGGAACTGCGGCTTCTCGCCAGAGTCGTTGCCATCGAAGCTGTCTTCGATAAAGCCATCGACGGTATCTCTGGGTGGGACGTTCTCACTCTCGTCCGGCCTCCTGTTCGAGTACTCATCGTCGCCTTTCGCGTACCATAGTTGTAGTCTTGCTCCTCGATCACCCGTGTTTGAGTATCGGGGGTTTTGGCCTCCATCATCCGATTCGTCGGGATTTCGTCCGTCGTGACTTGGAGCCCGGTCGCGGGACTCCTCATCTCTGGTTCTATCGAATCCAGAATCCTGTCGATAGTCTCCACTCTCCCTGTGGTAGTTTTGCCTTCTATCTCTCTCGTCAAACCTTTGACCAGTTCCAGGACGCCGGGTCTCCTCGTCCGACCACCCGGACCTCTCTTCTTCATCTCCTGACCATCTACGTCGGCGGCTAAGCCTGAAACGAAGGGACCTCGCTGTGGATGGATTCGATGGAGCGACTTCCACCTTTGCTTCCGTTTGAGGCTGATCGATAACATAAATCGAACCGTTTCTGTCCCCACTTTCTCGTGCTGCCAGCCATTCATGCTCCCGGGCTTGATCCTCGTCCAGGATTATATCTTCGTCAGGATGTGGAGGGAGCGGTGGTGTGAAAATAGCCTCCTCCCTCTTTTTAAAGACTTCTATGAGCTTACTAGCGAGCTCGAATTCCAGCTCCTGCTCGATTTTATTCCCGAACTCGAGACAAACTCGCTCGATCGATCGACCGCTGAACATCTCCGTCATTCCATCCCTCCGCACTCTGTACAATTCCTCCACATCCACTGGTAAGGGATTTCTACCGCCGTTTTTTGAAACGAACGGTAAAGCATCACCCCTGAGTCTTTGAAGATATTTCCTGCGGAGGTGGTTCAAGCACTCGGTCACGTCGAATTTCCGCTCGTTAGGTTTGGTCACCCCAAGATTTGATTTTGTGACTTCCTCACGCTGGGTAGAGATTTCGTTCTGAGTTTGTCCTCCAGCGCTATCTAGCGGCTCACCCTCGAGTGACGCTCCACGGTTTCTTGGAACTTCGCTAGTGATCTGTTCTTCTTCATGATTTCCTCCATCATCTTTAACTATCGGTTCCTCTCGGTAAATCTCAGGGGTCGGCGACATGAAATGGGAGCTAATTTCATCGTTGTTTACTGAGGTTGTTTTATGTGACACACCCTGGTTTTTGTTGGGCTTGAGGGAAGCGCCCCCAATCTGAACGACCTCCCGTTGTGGCTCCTCAACTTTCGGAAAACTTCCGGGAAACTTCTCAACTTCAGGCTCCAGGTTCTCGTCGTCATCGTCATCTCTGTCAAAAACGTCTGGCCTAAATCTCTCTGGCCTAAAAAGAACTTCTTCCGAAGCAACTTGAACGCGTTTTTGTCGCCGCACACCTTCTTGAGGCTGATTGAAAATTTCTGACTCGAGGAGCCTCGGTGAAAACGCATCTTCCTCTAACTCGTAGAGCATCCTCATCGGACTTTGAGGACTCCTTTTCGCTCTTTTGGACCCGGATATAGGATGTTCCGCCTCTTCGACCCTTTCGGAGACCCTTATTCTTATGTGGTCGTCTGTATCAGCTACCGGTGACGACTGCGTATCCGGATGATCATCGGTTTGGTTCCGACCCTTCTCGAATTCTGAGTCGTCTTCATCATCATCATCATCATCATCATCATCTTCTTCGTCGAAGACACTCCGTAAGTGGGCTACTATCCTTTCAGCTTTCGACATGAGACCATCTTGTGGGTTTGAATACTCTCGAAACCTGGATATTATTTTAGTACGATTGATTGTGCTTGGAATATCGTTCCTAAGAACTTGTCTTGTAGATGAAACCTCTTCAAGCTCTGAGTGAATTTGTGGAATTTCTTCTTTCGGCCCTTTTTGCAACTGCCGCGCTTGCGAAACATCCTGTTTAGAATCTCTATTTAGGGAATTTTGTCGTGTGGGTGCAATTTCCTCACTATACTCTGGATGCATTTGTCGTGCTTTCGAACCTTCCTCGCTTGAATCTGGTGTTACCATCCGCAAGTGTGAGTATACCTCCTTCCGATCTGGATGCGACTGTCTCGCTCGTATAAGTTCCTCCCTCGGATCCGAGGATGTTCGTCTACGTGCGATTAGTTCTTCTCTGGCGTCCGTCATCGTTCGCCTGGTCGTGGTTGTTGTCCTGACTGTTGTTGTGGCCAAAGCTTCGTTCTCCTTCCGGTGGAGCTCCGCTTGCCATAGGATGTACTTCTTCAAGAAGTCGCCCGTTGGGTCATCGAAGTCGAATCCATGGGACCCGTCTGTATTGCTGGTCGTTTGGTCATCGGGTTCATCGTCGAAGGCGCAGCAGATGATAGGGACGCCGATGACATTATCGAAACCGCACATGTTCGGGTGCTGTTTGTTCGCCAGCTGCGTCTTCAAGGAACTGCACTGCCATGGAAGCTTGCATGTTCCGATCAGCCCGTGGTCGTTCGCGCACCTTTTGCCGACTGAAACAGAAATCAATACGAATCGGGATGAGTATTGATGGAAAGAGTTTTAAAGGGAGGCACAAAGTAGAATAGGAAAATAAAGGGATTTACGTGGTCATTTATTTTTCAGGAAGTTAATATTTTCATTCGGCAAAAACACTAAAAGAACGAATAACCAAGGCTAAAAAAAAACAGAATTTTTAAGAAAATTTGTATACTTAGATTTAAAAACTAGGGTATCTAAAGAACTTAAAAAAATTAACGATACGTAAGAACTTGTGCGCTGGTTCTCACGTACATAGCACCGATTACATTTCGCCTGCATCAACTATCACAACTCCCATGATATCAAATTGCACACCCACATAAATTAAGGAACTTTCGTATCGCTCAACATTCGCTAGCATTCTACTAATACATTAACCACACGTCAATGTGGATGATCTCCAGTTGTTATCATTAATTGAACGTTATGAGGAATTAATGACGAATACGTGAATAGAATTTGCGGTCACGTACAGTTCCTTTTTAATCAATTTTCTTAAAATTTACCCTACCGATTTTTCCAGAAAAATCGGTAAGAAAAAGTTTTACGAAATTTGATTAAGTATGGCCGATAAAGTTAACAACAGAAGTGAGTTCCTTTTTATTTTCATACGTTCATAAATATTTCCCATTACTAAAAACGCTTGTACATCAATCTTAGCTAATGAGTGCTTCTTTCAAGCACTGCGACCTTTTATGATCACTTGGATTTTCGCTGTGTGACAAGACACATATTTGGCCTTTATTTATACGTGTAGGTAAAAAAGCTCCTTCGACTTGAAATCGTCGCATCCTTAACAAATTACCTATACTGCCTTGCTAAGGAGAAACGCCGTATGAACATTCGAGAGTTGCCTTTGCTCCGATAAAATGTCTAGTTTTGAAAAAGTTATCAATATTGTTACTTGAAATTGTTAGACTGTTTAGAACAAAGTGCGAGCGACATTCCCTGAAAAATCGGAAGAAAAATGTTCATAAATATTCCCAAAAATTCGTGATTCATCAAAGGAAATTTGGCAACGCCTCAAGGCTCATATGACGTTTTTCCTTAGTGCTGCAGTATAAGCGGCATGTATTATGGTCTGATCGATAGTGGTAATAGTCTTGCAGTAGCTGGTTGTATAGTTCATAATACAGCTCTTCGTAAATCGTGTTTTCTTATATCATAAGATAAAAAAAAATGATGAATGAAAAAAAAAGAAAAAAGAAAAAAAACTCCGTAGAAAAATACTAATTAATGTGAAAAAATCACATCAACATTTTTAAAAGCGTTCCCGTGCCCAAAATTACCTTAATCAGCATGCGTTGGATTCCACAACGACAAAGCCTCAGAAGCCAGTGCTGTCGTGCTAAGAAAGAACGCCGTATGAACATTCGAGCGTTGCCAAATTTCCTTCAATAAAATGTTAAATTTTGAAGTAAATTATGACTATTTTTCCTCGAAATTTTCAGGAACTTTAGGCGAAATTGCGAACACTATTATCTGAAAAATTGGAAGAAAAATATTCACGAGTTTACCCGGTAATTCGTGCCTTATCAATCGAAATTTGGCAACGCCTGAAGGTTCATACGGCGTTTTTCCTTAGCACGGCATAGTGGGTATTATTTCGGCTTTGAAAATCAATCAACCGGAAAAGAACTTTGCCCGTGCTCAATCTTCGATGTCGTCAAGTTTTAGATCTCGTAATTTCTTCTTCGGTCAATTCAAACTCTGAACCGAAGTTCCTTCTGCATGATAAAACTTTGAGCGAGGATTCCCCAACCGACGGATCGCAAAGCCGCGCCTCTCAATCGAGTATGTAAATCATGCATGGGGAAGAGAAAATAAATAACACCTCGGTGATGCGATACATGGAGATGCCGATAACCCTACCAAATTTTTGTAGCCGAGGGGCAATCTTTCTTTTTTTTAGAGCGTTTCTTCAAGCGAGTTTTAAATTTCCCGGTCTGAAACTAACGCCGCACAGTGGATCGAGTCGATTAGAGAGGTCGGAAATGAAATTTTCGACCAAAACTGCAAATTTTGATGCTTATTTCGTCTCATTTGAAATTTTAAAGGGGTGTTTCCAGAAGAAAATTTCATAGGAAGCCAATAAAAGCACTTTAAAACCTCAAAGTTGAATATAAATGGAGTTATATGCGTTTAAAGTTTCTAAATTTTGTCCGACCTGTCTGTGACTATTTACTCGATCTACTGTGCGCCGGGCGTTTCTCTACGGAGTGAGAAGAGTATAAATAATTCACTGACAATTTTTTCCCCATGCTAACGGCAACATGATCGGAAATATTTCCTGTTCCCAGAGAATAAAATAAAATAATTGCTTTTGGGAATCCCTGATTATGAAGCGTCTTCAGAAGTGTGTTGCGAACCAGTCGAGTTGCTGTCTCAATGAATTGGATGCTGCAAAGTATTGAATTAAACTTATCATATTTATTGCGTGTCATTCACATCCCAGGATGCAACAAACTAGGCCTCTTCAATAGTAGAATCTCGGTGAAATTTCTAAGGGGATATAGTAAACCTTGTGATTTGATGAATACCGATTTCTCAAAATAATGTTCACCACAACCACCAGCGCACCACTAAAAAGCTGAGGACACCAACTTTGGAATAAAACAGAGCCATTCTTTTCGCCTTTTTCCGTTTCAGTCAGGGGAAAATTCTCTCGTCAAATCAGAGCTGGTATAAAAGGAAGAAAGAATTCTTGGAATTTAATAAATTTAATTCGAGATGACCCGAACTAGATTTGACTTGGCCTCGAACGATTTCAAGTATCATATTTTTCATTTTAATTTTATACAAATCTCACATTCAAATTGCTACGCAGGGTCTGGGGTTTCGCTTCACCCCGCCATCATTGGATTTAAACGATGACTTCTGAATTAAAGCAGCAGACAGTTGCTCCTAAGCTGGAAATAGAACATTCCTTCATAATTTTGTCGTACGTCAATTTATACAAGGTTCCATTCTATCAATGTCACGGAGCTAGCGCATTGCTGATGAAATACTTCAATTATTGTAATTTTTTGAGTCGACAAAGGATCAAGATAACTTTTGTCCCCTCTTGCATCTATTCTTTTTTCCCCTCCTTTTTTGTTTTTAATTTCTCAAACAAGCCCCACCAAAGCGCCTTTTTCAGGAGAAGGAAGTGGGACAAATGTGTTGATTCTTTCGTCAGGCTGAGCAAAAAATGATGAGACTGGTCGAATTTCTTGATGGAATAAAAGAGCTGGACAAAGCTGAGCAAACTAATTCTATCTACGTCAATGGATTAGAAAAAAAGATTCGTTTGAATTATTCTGATGGCAATCTCGTCGTCTCTCAAACGAAGGAACGTTACTTCATTCCGAGGTTACAAAATTGATTAGGAAAATTGGTCTTTCAAAGAATATATCCATGCAATTTTTGTCCAAAATTTTTTTGATTTTTTATGAGCTCATGAAAAAACGGTAAAACCTGTAGTCAGAAAAAAACCAAGATTCTCCTGATAAAAGTGCATGCACTTTGTACGAGGCAATTCGGCAACATTGAAATGCAGTTACATTCTTTTGCGAGAAAACGACAGGCAGGAGAGTTTGGAAGACAAAATCGGATGAGCGGTTGTCTGAAGCAAGACGAAGTCACTCAACATTTCTTGACCACTCGCTGGCATTTACTCTTATACTTGTTTAGTCTTTGTGCACATTTCTCGATTGTTTTTTGCAATTTTTTCACCTTCCACTGAGATATGCCCAAAAAAGCTTCAAAAAAAGGGGAAGTAAAAAACAGAATCGTTCCATAACACCTGACATCGAGTTTTTATATTCCTACTGTTGCTAAAGAATCATACTCTCTAAACTAAACTTCTCCCTAAATCAAATCCAGCCTTAAAATAGGTAGGAGCTAAAATGAGAGATCAAAAAAATTCACCATACAATATACCACCTTCTTTTACTGTGAAGACATGACAACGCGATATTTTTTTACCATGCAATCGGGGTTTGTATAGCGGAATGACTTTCCTCCGTTACAAGTGCACTGGAAAAAAATACACATTGGATCTAGAGTCCGGACTCTTGAAGACATTGACAAGAAACAATACTCTTAATTCAATCAGATTTTTGCTTGAATCAAAAGGAAATCCGCTTAAATTAAGAGGCTTGGTTCTTGATTTAAGCAAAAATCCGATTGAATCAAGAGTATTTTTTCTTGTCGATGTTTTCAAGAATCTGGACTCTAGATCCAATGTGGTTTTTTTTTTCCCCAGTGTGGACGTATGTTTCAAACAACACGAACAAACCGCATTTCCCGTTTCAAAATGTTCGATCTTTGTATTAAAATTTCTGGGAATTGATATTTTCTGGTACCATTATTGTAAGCTCGGGATTGAGAGATCTATAGAATGCTCTCAAAAGGAACCACATACTCAAAACTAATCAAGAAAAAACTTCTACCGTAAATCTAGCGTTCATGGCCGACGGAAATCCCTAAAAATAATCTCGATTCTTATAATGTTTTGAGTTAACCTATAAATTTGCTCTCCTATTTCTATTATTATTCCATTTAAATTTTCTCAGAAGTATAAACATACGTTTCGGCTGATACCAACGCAGGTCGTTTTTTCTCTCAGAAGTATTCCCAATTTCACAAAAGCGATGCATTTTTCAATCAAACATGGGACGCGTCCATTCGAATGTAAATTTAAACGCTCATGCATTCAGCCGTGCTAAGGAAGAACGCCGTATGAACATTTGAGAGTTGCCAAATTTCCTCTCGGAAAATATTCATTTTTGAGGAAAGTAATCGATATTTTTTCGTAAACTTTTTAGACGGTTTAGATCAGATCACAAAGGAAATTCTCTGAAGAATCGGAGGGAAATTGTACATAGATATTCCCGAAAATTTGTGATTTTTTCATGGGAAATTTGGCAACGCCTAAAGGCTCATACGGCGTTTTTCCTTAGCACGGCAGCATTGGCGATATCGATACTGA